GTATATTGTTTTTTTATATAAACAGTAGCCTAGAAATTCATTGGACATCTATTTGCAAATAAAATTTATCTAAAGCCTAAAATTCTTTTTATAATCCAAAAAATAATAAGATGTTTAGAAATACTTTTCTTGACATACTTGATCTTCTTAGAATTCCTAAACCCTATCAAATCTAAATCTCAATTCCTACCAACTTTTTTAAAAAAATACTGAATAATCTCTAAAGAAACTTTAAACAAATCCTCATAAATTCTAACAAATCTTAAAGAATGTCTAAGATAATCCTAAAATATCATAAAAACCCACATTAAACGATACATATAAAATAAAATAAAATAAGCATTAAAGTAGTCCTAAATTTCAAGTAGTAACTTCAATAAGCTATAACTCTAGCTTTTAGTGTTAGATCAGCTTCAAATTTTTATATGCTATTCAATATGTTAGTGTTGAATAAACTCAAGAAAGTTTGATAAAATCTAACTTACAGATTAGAAGATAATGTGAAAAGTCATGTACTAGAAATACTTGGCTTTCCAACCAAAGATCAAAAAAAAAAAAATGTGCAATCTTTTAATTATGTTTTTCTAAAAACAATCTATTAAAATTTTGGTTAAGCATTCTACATATTGTGGTTTTCATCCATTCATTCATCTCAAAGTTGTGTTCCAATTCAAAAATATATGTGTATAACATTTTAATTTTAAGTTAAGATGACTTTGAATTCTTCAAAATTGTTTATTGAATATTTGAGCATTTTCTATGGCATTTGAAAATCACCAAATAAATCACTATTATATCATTTGAGTTTGTAATATTTTTACTTATTAGTATTTTTTTATCATTTTAGAATTTTGATTTTTGTCTTTAATTTAGTTTGATATTTTTTTTATTTTACAAAGGTTTAATTTTCATATGTCATGAACAAAAAATAAAATGATAGTAAATAAATTATTATGTGTAATTTAAATCACAAAAAGTAATCAATTAAAACATTAAAAATCAAAAAATATTTATTAACAATAAATGATTTGGAGTGCTGAATTTCAAATCGTAATTTAAAATGGATTGATATTCTACTCATATATTTTTAATGATACTTTTATGGTTCCAAGTGTATTTTGAATGTGTATTATATACAAAAGAAAAAATATATATTCTATCCAATTGATAATAAAAACTTCACAAATACCTCCATAAATTTTAAACACTTATTGTAGATATTTTAAGAACATAGAAAAAGAAAATCATTAAGCCTTCAAAATTAATATAATTTCAAACAACCAAAAAATCAAGAAAGGTTTCAATTCCAAAAAAAACGCACCATGTTTTTTTAGAAAGATTGTTTTGTTTTAAATAATACATGAAGCAAATAACCTTCCTTTTCAAAATATTGGACATAATTTTCTAATTGGCATAAGCATTCTATTTAGCATCTAAAGTCAAAAAATTCATGCCACAAACAAGTAGATTAAATTTCAACATTCCATGTCTTAGAAAAACCAAAACAAAAAGTCAAATAGAAAGAAAAGCAATACAAACATGAACCATTCCTACCTTGAAATTCCCAATGGGAAAAGGGTTTTCTGAACCATGGCTTTTACTTTTAGCTTTTTTTAAATAAGAAAAGAATCCAAGTTTTTTAATTGTTTTACAAATAAAAAGTTTTAAGAAAGGTAACCAACTTCTCTATCCTAGACATCCATCCCTCATGGCTTATCGTCCTAAAGAAGACAAAGCGCCATTCATCCAAAAAAGTAAGTTGATATTTTCATCGAAAAGGATGCTGATCCTTTTTCATCCAAAAGTATGCAAGTGTACGTTCGTTTCCTTACCCGAACGAACGTGTTCATCCACAAGCGGGGTTGTATTCACACGGTGCCCGGAGTAGAGGGTTCCAGGAAGAGAAGGGATTCGGCAACACGGCGGATGTGGGGTCGTGTTCACACTCAAATGAAAGAGGAGAGACCTGTTCGCCCCGAGAATGTGAAGGAAGGGTCTTCTCCCTATCCTTTGACAGCACATACTACGAAGCCCACAATCCTCTAATAATCAAACCCTACAAAACCCAACTAAAACCCAGAAACTCCCTAAAAACTCTTTGTTTTTTAAGAAAAATAGAGGGGGAGGGGTCTAATTTTTGCAAAATTGTGGGCTCCTTGGAAGGGGCTCCTTGGCGGGGGGTGGGGGGCGCCTCGGAAGCAGCTCCCTTCCCCTGCAAGCGCTCGATGGTCTCCATCTCCATTCGCTTGCTTCCTTCGCTTTTTCTTGGCTCGCTCACTCGCTGGCTCACTCTTTGCTTGCTGGCATTTTCACTGCGAGCACTCTGATCAAGGCCCCACCCTTGACAATATTCTACCCATTCGCGACCTGTGCGGAGCCCGAAAACATGCCGTGGCATGTTTATCCTTAAACGCAATGTCTAGTGGGGACAAAGTATACCCTGCAACAAACCAGTTTCCGACGTTGTTGTACGAGCCCTCTTTTTCTTCAGTCCTTCGTGTTAGTTTTTTTTTTATTATTTTTAATCGTTATTTCTTTGTTTGCTGGGTTTTATCTTTTCGCTTGCCGTGGATAGTGGCGGGGGTGTCTTAGCCACCAACGCTTCCAGTGCAGGGGCAGAAAGAAAGGTGATGCGCAAGCACACACAGTACAGGGGACGTGAATGAGTGAGACGAAAGGGTCCAGGCATCCAAGGCAGCAGAGTAGGCGGTAAAAAAGAGAGAAACAGGGAGAGAGAGAATAAGGAAAGGACCCCATGCCTGGCTGCGCTCAAGTTCTAGATCTGGACCTATCCCCCCCTCCCTCCCTTGCCAATAATTCTCGCAACCCCTGCCGTCTCAATCATGCCCCCACCCAACCATCTTGCGGCTCTGCTCGGCCCTTCTCGCTGTATCAATTCCACACTCGAATTCCAGACCCCCATTACGTGTCTTGTATTCACTATCCAACGCCAAATCATTATAAAAAATATATTTTTTGTTTTGGGTTTTTTTTAAGACGAAGTCATCGGGTCAGGGGTTAGACATTCTGACCGCTTTCGTACCACATCCCCCTGAATGCATTATTCTAATGCATATCTTAAACTTGCACTGTTTTGAAGACAGCTTTGTTCCTGCTTTGCCTCGAAACTCCTTCCCTACATGATTTTGCGTTAGGGAATATTGGGATGGTGGTCATGATTCTTGTGAAAGCGTCTAACCGCACATGCTGGCAACGGCATCGTTCGCGTTTGAGAGCATAGTCCTCGGCCTGAGCTGAACTCGCATATGCTCGGCCCTGCCTCTGCGAGAGATCCTTCCTCGCTAAATTCGATTACGGATGACGGTGCAGTAACTAGCACTGCGAAACTATGCGCTTCTCCCCGAGCCCCACCTGGTTCCTACCATTGTTGCTTGGCAAAGACCGTTGGGTTGTCGGGTTCGACGCGCTCTTTGTGCTGCTCCGCCTTCTCCACCCACTCGAGTTTTCACACCCGTTGTCGATGCTACACAACCGCCGTCAATTTTGATTGTTTCGCCCTCTCCAGACAAGAATGAGTTTTTAATGGACTGTGGCTCGGCGCATTTGTGTGAGAAGATCCGTAGCGTGCCCCAGTTTGAGGAGGAGCTTTGCGGGTTAGACTCTGGACTTGAGATTCACCGAAGACTGAGATAGCCTCTGGAGTGTAAATAGTGAAGATGTGTAATCATTCTTGTTAACAAATCCCTGGCGAAGTACTTCATGGTTTTCATTTTTGCCTTTCTGCATCAGTCTTTACTTTCAAGCACGAACGATTGATGGCAGTTCGGAAACGGGCCCCTTAATGCGATTTTGTTTCTTTCCAACACGGGGATTATTTTCTGAGCTTAAATTAAACCAGTGGTTACTTTGGGGTGGGTGTTTGCTTCATGTTCTTGACGGAATGATAATGTTGGTAGAATCTGTGATTTCCAAGTATATTTATCGGATGTGTTGATCCTGACTTTGAACATTTCAACACAGACCTTATTATGAGACGGTTGTTGAGCGTGTACGACACTTCTAGGAAGTGTGGAACCTCAACTTCCAACTCCTCCATTTAACGTGTAAGGTTCGTATTTCACCTCTTAAATCCAGACTTGAAGCCAGTTCTGCTGCAACTGGCATCGAAAACGGAGAAACCATGAAATGCAGATCCCTAATTATATACAAAAATTCGGGACACAAGATCAAAAGAGCCGAGCATATAGGTCGAGGTCGGATAAATGGAGGTGCGGGGAACGAGGAGATAACACTCTGGTGAAGGAGCCTACAACAGATCAGTTTCAGGTACTAAACGCTGGAGTCCAGGCATTCCTTAAGCAACATCACGCAGTTTCATGGAATAAGTTACAGCGTGAGCTGCGAAGTGAACGGCTTTCTTGGGGAGCAAGAAAAGATCCCGAGAGGCGGGACCCAGCAAGGGAATAACATCTGCCCTGTGCTCTATGTTCGAGGACTGTTTGCACATCTCGAAAAGTGAAAAATATTGCACAGGCCGTGGAACAGTGAACAATAATAATGATTAACCCGAAGTGGGGTAAGAGGAAATGCTTAATTCACAGATCTAGTATAGTCTTCCAAAACTACTTAACGCAATCTGGAGTTTGATTCTATAGTCAGTAACGTTCAACACATCCGCCGCTGTTCACATGTGTGACGAGGGAAACCAAAAGTCATCGAGTCAAGAAGCATAGGTGCTGCTGGAAGGCAAGACTCAGAACGACGAAGAGACTTTAGAACGATTTGATGATGACGACATCAAGGCCGGCGAAAAAAGTGGAGAAAGTTCGTATTTGCGAGAAACAAGGAGCATCATGCCTTACAAACAAATTCATCATCAAGAAGAATTAAGTGATTCTCTTGATCACACGATGGCTCTAAGCATAGTTTCACTCGAAAACACCTACCAAACTTCGTCACATACACCATCCCCACAACCACCACATTACCAGCAAAGACAACATACCAACAAGCGAGACACAAAGAGAGCATGACGCACACTAGCTTTGTGGTGAACATCCTATATAGAAAGAGGATTATCAATTGGTTTTCATATGGCCCTATCCTACCCTACATCTGTACACATGAAACGAGATGGCGCCAAAGTACGAAGCGAAATAAACTCTCCTTGCCAGCGCGCAGATTTCCCCTCCATCTCCTTGTAAACCTCACCTCTCAATAAAGAAAGTTAAGAACTATTCCATGCCTGAAGCCTACGTCGACATCAAAAAGGTCGAGCAGTCCCTCTTCAGAACTTAACAACCTTCTCGGCCACAACTAAAGGATTAGCCTTTGCAATAGCCTCCTGTCCAGCAGCCTTGTAATCATAAGTGCAACTATGTTTGTCAGAATACCGATGTAAAGCACAAAAAAGGTGCCCACAACGACACTGAAATCCTGTCAATCCCACGCGCTTCCTGCAAGATCCGCACCGGTTTGGTGCCGGTCTGGAGGGTGTGGCAACGGGGGCAACTACAACCTGGGGGGCTACTGTAACCGGAGCAACCTCAACTGGATGGTGGCTGGAAGATTGAGGCGGTTGTATCAACATGCTGTCGGCCTCAAATGAGCTCTTGTCCTCTTCCATAAGAACTGGAGGCTGAGCACTGGATGCAGCGGATGGCAGCACCTGAGCGGCTTGAGTGGCCTGCTCGGCCACGGCGGTCATCTTCGCTTGCATGACGGTCTCCCTGTAACACTTCGAGCAGAGACCCATAGTGGCTTGGCTGCCAAAGAAACCGCACACGTTCTTACACATCACAGGCCCCTCGGGGGTCTGGGAGGTTGTCTCCTGTGTGACACGCTCGGTGGCCATCTTCACGAGTTTTTCAGATATGTATCTTTCCTAACGAGGAGCACGAAGGCTCCACAGGATTAGACAGAAGAAAAACTCTGTGGGCTTTAACCCAACTTTTTTGGCAACCTGCAACGAAACACCAAAAAAAACACACACGCAAGGCCCGATCCGACCAAGAAGAGAGAATTGCTAGTCTACTTGAAGGCTCCGCTACAACTTATAGATACATACGCAAGCACGCACAGATGCAGACTCTTAAAAGAGTGGTCACGTAACAGCCCAACCCACCACGCAACAGGGGGCAGAGAAGCTGTGATCCGGAGAGAAGCGACAACGGGGCTCTGAAGAGGAATGATAGAGAGCAGGGGGGAGGCACCTTAAAACCAGAGAAGGACACGACTCAGCCGGCGCGACGCGGTGTAGGGGCTGCGAGATGAGGGTGACTGACTGAGGTGGTGGGGGGGGGGGGGGGGAGGGAAAGGGGGGCCTGGTTAGGAAAGAAGCTTGACACTGCTCCCACTTGCTATGGTCGGCGCATGAGCCGAGGAGGAGGGGGATGATGCAGCAGTAGCGTAGTGGAAGTATATGATCGACATCTGCAGAAGAAGCTTCTGCCTGCTGCCTTTCTAATTAAAATGCTGCAGACTCAGCGGAGCTTTCCCTTCTACTTACCATTCAGTCAGCCAGGCTCTCTCTCGTATCTTCACGAGCGAGCGACCGAGCCAGCGAACTGGGCTCTCGCAATGGTGCGTGTGGGGCTCAAGAGTGGCCAACTGGGTCGTCGCTGCGTCGATCACTCTAACCGCTTTCCAGCCAATTTTCGTTCTTTCTGGCGTAATCTTCTGAATCAGTGCGCGCACATGGTGCCACGGCTCCGTAGAATCTCTGCCACCACCGCGTCTTCAAGCCCTCGCACAGTTAAACCAACCCCCCTCCCCAATACCAACCTCGTCCCGCACCCGCACCCCCTCGGCCCGGCCCGTCTGGTGGCTAGCTGCCGCGAGCCCCCTTCTACGCGATTCTGTCCACTTGCAAGGCTGCAATAGATGAATGCTCTACGAGTCAAATTGACGAAAACGTCGCAAGTGTTGGATGATATATGTAAATAATAGTACTCCGTCGGATGATATCTGTCCTTGCGAAGCTTGGTGCAACCTCGACTTGGCTTCCCGTCCCCGCTGGAGTTGCTCCTTTTCATCCCGGCCCCTGTATATTGGGCTTTCTCTCTCCCCGCCACCTTCTTCGTCAAGATTCTTCTCCCGTTTTTTCTCTCTCTCTTTCTCTCTTGCCATGTGCCTTCTTGGTATATGGTTCCATCAAGTACAAAATTGGGTTCTGGGTAACATGGTTGCCGATTCTAGTTCCAACCTAAAACAATGGATTAATGTCTTGTAACGTGAACACTAAGTGCAGATCAATTATATGTTGTGAAACGAACAATGTTGAATGGGATTTGAGAAAATTTCATGTGTGAAATTCAAAGTCAACCAGTCCAATTTTTCGTTAGGTTTTTGAATATTTAATAGCCATATCTTGTCATTCTCTTCAATGAGCATGTCAGCTTCATAATGAATTTATCAGTTTTGAAATTAAGTTCATTATAATTTCAAACATCGCTCCATCCATAGAATTCCAAACCAGTAATTCATCCAAATTCATATCCATCCATCCATCCAGTTTTGTACTTGTTCCTTTCGGGGCTGGCCTAATTCATCCCCACTGCCCTTGGCACTATCATCCTCAAATATGAATGAATGGATGTTGCTGACCTAGGAGGGAGTGACTAGTAGAGGAATCCTCCATTTGCCACCATGAATATAGCGTGTCATGAAGAAGAATAAGACCAAGCTTGGTGTATTTTAAGATATACATATGTATATATATATATATATATATATAATAATTAACATTATGGAGGTTCAAACTTTTTAACAAAAATTCCATGTGTTTTCTGGAGTGTCTGTTTTAGTATATGAAGAAAAATCATTGCTTAATGTGGAGAGTTTTTCACTGAGTTACTTGGAAGCTGTTCAAAGTAGTTGTATGAATTAAAACTTGATGTTACTAAGCAAATTATTTTGCTTTCTATCAAAACGACACAAGAGAAATCCAAGATAATTTCAGTAATCAAAGTAACACAAGTCACATGTGCTTTAATATTTTTTTGATGACCAAGGGGTGGACAATCAGTTATTATCCTTGTGTATACCTCAAAATTTAACAAGGTCGATTTTATTTTAGTTATATTTTAAATTAATAATATAATTTTCTATTACTTGTTCATGTTGTATAATGAGAATTGATTTTTATTATAAAGTATATAGTTTGATTTTTTATTAGTTACTCTCATGTAAAAATCAATGCTTTGAGATTTATAGATATAAAGTTACTTCTTTTTTTTCTTTTTAATTTATCATTTATACATAAAATAAAATCTTGAAAGTAATCTAGTTAGTAACAATGAAGTAGAAGACCTATCAAATGTGGTTAGGTCACATGATGAAATAATATCATTATAGAAACTTTTGGTTTAGACTATTGATCACACTTGTTTGTAGACATTGTAAGTATTGAGATTCTTTTGTTTAGGTGTAGTGGAATCTTCTGACTTTGAATATTGATCACTCTTAGTTGAAAATATTTTAATTGTTAAATTTATTCTCACTTTGTTATAATATTTGTTAGAGCTTACAAACTCATATAGTATAGACTTGTATTCATTTATCATGCTCCTTTTACAATTGTTTTATTTCATACATTCTAAAGTACACAAATACAACAATAATTTTTTATTTTATTTTATTTTTGGTTGTGAAGTTGAAGAAGGATTTGCAACTTGTTGCTACCCATCATATTAATTTGATGTGACATGTACTTTATTTCAACCTTTTATCAAATTGAATCAACACACATGATTATTTGCAAAGAATTGGATCCCAATGATATGAAAGTAAGCAATTGCTTTCAAAAAGTATCAAGTACTTGTGGGATAAGATTTTTTTAACTTATTAAGTAAGAAGGCAGGCGTTATATGTCCAAACAAGACCCTCGCATCACTGTAGTTATTTATTTAATTATTCATTTCTTCCCGTTTTGGATTTTAAAATCATGGAAAGTACAACTTGAGAACTTAAGAGGATGGACCAGGATGATAAATATAGTTACATTATAAGCCAACAACTGGTCTATGTACACACTCAATGCTTTATGCTCATAATTTATCACAACAGTCTATACTAATGAACAGTGTCAACAATTTGAAGCAATTGATAAAAACACCTTCATAAAGTTCAATAAAAAGAATCTACTGATGAATTTGAATTGGAAGTTTGGAAGCGAAGTACGTACTTGTGAAAGAAATTGAGGCCCTAAAGTCTTCATTTAAACTTAAGCAATCAAAAAACTACAATAATGTTGAATAGAACAAGAACAAAAATAAATAAAAAATAAACATTTTGTTTGGATTAATTGAAGTAAAAACAATCACAATAATTATCAACTTTACAAGTACCCAGAAAAAATTATATATATATGTGTGTGTGTGTATAACCACACACTAGTGTAATAATAGACAACACAAAAATTGACAGGAAACGTAAAAGTGCATTAAAAAACGACACTAAACAATCCGGGACGCTTCAGGGCGGGTGTCAGAATTACGTCAAAGGCGCTCGACAATCAAAAGTCTCACTAACAAACAAACAAACAAACGAATGAAGCTACTGTCTCGAGCAACAACATGAGCAGAAAAAAGGATTTTCATAGAAAGAAGCTGGAATTTACCTGAAGCAAAAATTAAAAAACAGGGGTGGGAAGGAATGAAGGAAGGAAGGGCCGAGTGGGTGGGTGTCTTGGAAAGGGGGTTGGCTGGCAGGCAGGCTGGCTTGTTTGAATCTCAAGGTTTAGAACGGAGAGAGAGTTTGAGGGGGTTCAGAGCGTTCGTGCGTGTGCCGAGGTGCGAGTCTCCGAGATTTAACCTCGTTTTCTATCCATGCGTTGTTTTTTGCGAGTTGCTAAATTGTGAGTTTTGAAGGGGGGGAGCTTCCAGGACCCCTTTGCAACGCTGACCTCGTTTGTAGCTCCAGTAGTGCCCACCGACAACTGGGTCTATCTGTTGTTGTATTGGCCAGTGGATCTGCGTGTCGATGTTGAATTCTCTCTCTCTCTCTCTCTCTCTCTCTCTCTATATATATATATATATATATCTGTCTATCACTCTCTCTCCCTCCCTCTCGTTGCTGGTCCTTTCTTCAGCTGCACAATCGACTGCCGCACGTCTTTGGGCGTGATAGCGGGACGGAAACGCTGGATGAGATTTTGACATGCCAAGTCGCACCGAAAAGGAGACAAGGATCACAGTTTTGTTCAGTTCTTTGCAGAGGTACTTTGCGTCTGGTTGCCTGTGGGAGTGTGGCGTTCAAATTAGAGCGAGGGACATACCTTGGGAGAGAGAGAGAGAAGTGCTTTGTTTGCCTGGTGGGGAATTACAAACCATCCACACTATCAAGCTAGGTAGCTTTTCCGTCTACTGTTTCGCTACTCTTGATAGTGGTCTACTTCATGCGCATCAATTTGTTCTGCTGTAATCCAATCTCGGTATGGTACGGGCACTAAAGATAGATCTTAGTCATGTTAACCCTGTAGGCGAGTCTAGGTCGAAGATGGAGACCTCGTGATCAAGAGCGAGCACAACGCACAGGCACAGGAGGATGGTAGCTACAACACGCACGTTACTCTGCCAGATAACGCTAAATATAAGGTAATTGAGGAAGAGCTCGAGATTGGTGTTGTGTGTGTGTGCTGTTTGTACCCAACTTCAAAGAAGACTTTGAGGATAATGTCATTGACATCACTGCCGAATGTTATCTTTTTCTCTTTTTTGTCTTCCTGTCCGCAGATGATGACCCAGTGATTACTTCTCTTCATCACAGGTATTTGTGAAACGCTTTTGTCAACTTCTGAAGCGATATACGCGTACTCTGTGAGCATTTTCAAAATTTGACCCATACAGACATAAAGGTTAAGTTAGAAGATGAAAAAAATGTAGTGCACTCAAATGAACTTCAGCGTAAATATTTTCAGCAGCAGTTGACTTGCTTCTTGCAAATGGTAAGTTTTCTGAAGACTGATGAAATACTGGAGAGAATTGATACGACCCAGTGAGGTCACGATAGAGTCTAAGTAATGCGGAACTCCAACTTTTTTCTCCTACGAATTGCCGGTATCGTGACTTCAAACACTTCTGGGGCCAGTATTATCCAACTTCTCAGGATCTAGACATTTCCATGTAGCAATTGACCAAACACCCTGCAAATCTCCATTCGGCCTGCACAACTGCCTCGAACCATATGGCTGAACTCTGGCAACGGGATATTGAAGTATGTCAACGCTGGCACGGGCTGGGACGTTGCCGGAGCTTCGTTCATGTCCGACAGTTGCTCCACCCATTTTCGAAGTTGCGTTCAATGCAACTTCGACAACTTAACGCGACTCTACACGGGTTTCTCTGATAAGATTGATTCGTTGAAGCATCTCACCCGAAGAGTTTTGAACACCGCCCTTCTCTCCATTAAGATACTGCGTCTCACTTATCCAACCATAACCTCTACTTATCTAGAGCTTAGGTGAAGCAATCGCCGCAGTCCACGAAGAATTCATCACATTTTTTTGTATTCTTTTTGGGAACCCACTGCTGCATGTTACTTGAACGGCGAAGTTTACAAACACCTGGATCCCATAACAACTATCAACGCACGGATTTTCTGTAGCTGAAAAGTGGTTCATGCCCTCGAAGTAAGACGTGACCGCCTCTCGAGACCAATCCCCTTGGTCATTGTTGCCAAGGACTGTAGCTCTCGAAATCACAGCCTCCGTCGCCTCGCCAAATGTCATGTCCACAGACGCAACTGGGTGCTTACAATCCTTCTACGTTCTCTCGTACTCACCGAAACCAACACCGAATTCACAATCCTCGCTGTTTCCAACCCGAGATCATGAGTTGAGAGGGTTTCCCTACTCGCTAGAATCACCACAACCAAGTTCAGAACCAGGTTCAGTAGCACCGACAAGCTACTTGTAGTTCCCCCATCTTGGGCTACAAATCGCAGGCAGGTTGTAACTTTGATGAATCAATCACGAAGACAGTCCGTGTTTCTAATCGTAGATTTCAAAGCGGCCGATCTCTCGAGGACCTAGCGCAGAATTTGCATGGATTTTCTAGTCCATGCAACTGGTGTGTCGGTGTAGCAGCAGCAGCTTGCGAGTCTTCACGGTGAACGCAATTAGCAGCAGTTGAGACTTCGGTGAGAGGGATTAATGAAGCTTCAACGTGACGAGGAACTTCAACTCTCACTCCGAAGCTTTTCTTACCTCGGCCAACAACTCTCGTTGCTTCGGCCGACATCGGATGATACCAATGTCATCGTTTAATGTACGGTTCGGAAGAAGGTTTTAGTAAAAGTTTGCTAAAGTTAAAGCACTGATGCATGTGGAAGATGTACTGGTCAATGAAAGAAAGTAACTTCAGAAAGAAGGAAAGGAGAAAATGCATTTACTAATGTCAAAATTTTAAGATGCACAAGAAAGAATGATTTATATGATGTGTATTCATGTTGATGAAATAACGATTTTGGAGAAACATGGAAACATATGTTTGTTTATAACATTGACTTATTTTGTAATGTAGGAGAGTAATTTCTTAAAATGGAATTATGTATTTCAAATAACAAAAGAAAGAAAGAAAGAAAAAAATAAAAATAAAATAAAAACTTTCAATTCTAGAATGATAACTTTGTAAATTTTAAAGCTTTATAATAATTAATTTACAAAGAATGTAATGGGTAGATTTTCGAATACTTAAAATAAGAACACAATGAAATTAACTCTTATAAAACATTGTTGCTGAGTTGAATGATTTTTTTAGTTATTAAAAAAATGATTACTGTCATGACTAACACTATAATGTCAAATTATTTTTTCTTATCAATAACTAATTACAAATTTTATTTTCCTTGTCCTTAAACACTAATATTTAAAAACGTTAATGAACATGATTCATTCGTTAGTGTTGGAATATTGGAATTAATTTTCTTATCACAAAGAATCACAAGAAAAGAACTCGACACTTCATTACTTAATAACAGTTTAAACATATCAAGGAATGATATTAACTTCAAAAAACCTTACCATCAAAACTGAAAGTTTTCGAACTTTGTAGCCATAAAGCCAATATGATTTGAATCCATCTATTGATGAAGACCCACGTCAACACTTATGTGTCTTAACTAATTTAATTTTTTAAAAGTTTTTTGCTCAATTCATCGAAATATCAATGTACCCACTGAATTGAAATGACTACACGACTTCAATGTTATTTTTGGGGTTGGGGTTTCTAGGATCAAATTCTCCCCTGTCTCACTCCTCGTCTTCTTCTTCTTCGGTGGATGGAAGTTTGGTTGCCTATTTTCATCGTTGAAATCTTGTGTGTAAGAGGTCTGGGTTTGCGAATCGAGGTCACAGATTGTGATTACACTTCCGTATAGGTTGCCTTTCAATCTCGCTTCAGAAAGCGTCAATTTCGAAGAACAGACGAGAATTGTGTGTCAGTCCTTGTTGAAGATTGAGTTGGAGAGAGTGAGCTGAGGCGATCTGACCCGTGTGGTGGCTTCGATAACTTCGAGAAACAAGCCTTAGGGGTGTGCTTGGGGTTTTGAATTTGTTGAATAAATTTCTCCTACACCGCAAATTCTTCGTTGAAGAAGTCGTTCACGTTGCGAGCATGGGAAACAGGCGCCAGCGTTGGCGATGCTACGGCGCAAGGCTCTTTCCCGGTTTTGAGGTACATGGGCGCTGCATTAGCTTCAGAAACTGTAGTGAATTGATGAAAAGAGAGAAAAAGGTTTTGTGGGTACAATTAAATTTGTTGGGTCGCGTGCCACCCACCATTGGTTTTGAAGACTGGACGGAGCAACTGAAGACGTGCTCTGGCAGAACGCGATGGACCGCCGTCGAAGGAGACTCTGCGGCAACCAGCGGCAACTTGCGGCGTCTATGGCCGCGGTCAAGACGGTACACCGCGGTAATAGGCAACAAGTTTGTTGTTTACAATGTTCATAGTTTCTCTTGTCTGCAAATAATAAAAGAAAGAGAAGCACGTATTGAAACCTTATAATGTTGATTCTAAAATTCACGGTTCCTTTAAACTTCGATTAATGTACTTAAATTTTTTATCATATTTTTCATAAAATAATAAGATAATGTGATAATATTTTTTAAAAGTAATTTTTTTGGCAAAAAACATATTTTTATAATGAAAATGTTGTTTAACTTAATAATGCTAGTATCGTCTTTATTTTTACATTTTAAAAAAGAAATAAATTTTACACAGTATTAACTTAACAAAAAAAGAGAGTCATGTGTTGGTATTTCAAACATCTTCTCTGAAGAATGGAATATATTTCTTTATTTTCTAATTTTCTTGACCACTTCATGTAACAAAATCCACATTTTCTAGCCCGGTTCTGAGTCATGATCTTGATTTTTTTTTACAAAACATATTAAAAATGGTATTACATAAATATATTTGAAATCTTTATTGCAATCTAAAATCTTATATTTGTGTATGTATATTTCATGAACAACACCATCCATTTCATCAATTTGGTTATCATGTAGTGCAATTTACAGTAATAAAAAAACTGTCAGTTATTTTATTATTTTATTCATCACCTTAAGGAGGTGAAAGTAACAAGAGATCATTGTTTCCACTTCGTTGCTTCCAATTTGGTGTCCAAATTCCATCACAAAGTTGCCAATGTTTCATTTGTTGGCCTTCCTCTTGAAGTGGGTAGTTTGTAGTAAACCAACAATCCCAAGACACATCATAAATAACTAGTTTTGGGTTATGTCCCATTTTGAAAACAATGAGACCTTTTCCAGAAGCATGTTCCATATATTGTGGGGTGAAAATGGTGGCACTTGCAAGGAATTCATAAAAATGGTTTTGAGGCATTTGAGAAAGCAAATCAAAGTACCCAGTTGGCACCATTTCATCATCTAGATTTATGTTCACAATGTAGATTGTTTCAGCAATCTCAGGGAAGCCAGCCTTTTTCCTCGTCACTGCTTGTGCTGAATACTGATTCGACTCTCGAAAGGGTTGCACTGCTATAGGGGGCCACATTTCATAGTTGAACAACTGATGACAATTTGTGGGATCAATCTTCCGTCCATGAAACACAAATTGTTTGCTTGGCCATTTATGTGAGTACCTATTATTCATTCCAAAAATCAAAATCAAAATCAAATAGGAATTTGATATGTACAATTCTTAGAAAATTTAAACTGAAATAAATATATATATATATATATATATATTTTGGTGTGAATGCAATTTTGTTGACACAAATAGCAAAACAAGTTTAGAAAAAGTAATAGGAGAATTACAAGGGACAATAAAAGATTGTTGGTTCAAAACATTCATCTTTTTCTTCTCTTCCGGGTTTGCAATTAATGGCCAATCCTCCAAAAATGATGGCCATGTCATGACGATATTCACCCAAAAGAACAACACCCATTTTACCTTGACTATTTGGCATGAGTTTACATTGGTTTTTGGTTAATCTTTTAAATGTCCATTGTTTTACAAAAGACTCGTAAACCCCGACAACAAGATTTTCTTCAAGATTCATATTCACCTTTTTCAAACAATGATATCCCATTACAACCACAATATATCTCTTTGATGTTCCATATCAACATTTTTGATGACACATGTTGTTGATTGGATGTCTAAGTCGCCGTTCCGGATGTTTTATTGGATCATGCATTTCTCTTAGCATTTGAGCTATAGGAGGAGATCCAAATGATGGATCATCTCGACCTTCAAAATGGTCTATACGTATTTGACATTTCATAGCTATGTTTGTTTCAAATGGCCTCAACAAAAGGCTTGACGGCCATCGTATGGGTAGACTACACATCATGTTATTTTTTCCTGCATCCTTACTTCCAATTATTTTCTTCTTCTTCATTCTCTGCCCAAAGTACCCTGCTTGCTCCCACTCCAAATCCACATCTATTATACTTCGAGTAATAACTACAGCTGTTTCGTGGCTCTTGAGCGTCTTCCAATCCATCATGTCACCAGGTTTGCGTTTCCAAACATGGCCAAATCCAATTTCATGGCCATTTAAATCCATTAAGATCACGGTCTCGTCATCTTTAAAATCTTGGTTGCCTATAGCTAACAAAAAAAAAGTTTTAGAAAATAAGAGATGAAATATTTGGGATGTATGTGAGAAGTGAAGTGGTGTGGACGATTTATTGAAATTCCATCCACTATAAGGATGAAATACATTCATCCATACTAACACATTGCAATTTTTTTTTTATTTGTTATTTTTTTTTCTCAACCAACACTAGGCACGTACTTAAACGAGGCACATGTTTGGGAGACCCAGGGGCAGCGTAGTCCGGATGGATGAGAACTGGCATTGCGTTCCTCATCACACTCCATTTATCCTTTCGTTGTCCACGTTGCAGTTGGGTGAGAGGGGGTTCCGAGGTGGCAGGGGCGTGACCCGTGGTGCACCCAGCGGAGCAGGGCCACGTGGCTGCGGGCGAAAACGAACCCGAGAATTCCCGCGGGTGCTTGAACCTCGTGGCACACAGCTCAGTGTGACAACGGATGCATGGGGATGAATGATTTGAATCCCTCGGGTTCCACGTCCACACCGGGCTCACATTTGGCCCCCCGGTACAATTCGGGCTCCTGGGCAGTCGCCCCCAGGAGCAGAGGCTCCGGGCCCGGCCCGTCCTCGCGGACCCTGGTTTCTTTCCAATTCCGTCGTTTTCTTTCCGCTCCGCGAACGGGTTGTGAGCCTCCCGGTCGCCGGAAGGAGACCCGGAAGGAGTCGGTGTTGATGGAATTAGGGTTTCGGAGCTCTGTTCCGGAGATGTCGGTGCCCTTCGTGTGCCCCTCGGCATCCGTTCTCTACCACGTGGGCGAGGAATGGTGTCATCCCAGTCCACCATTCGGAGAAAGGCGGATATTTGCTCGAGGCGGTAGGCAAAAGGGGGCAGATAACAGTACTCTTTCGTCAAAGGGTTCGTGACGCACATTAGGGTTTGGTCCTTTTCAAACATGCCGGGCTCCCACGCATCTGCATAGGGCACGTCTTGGCTGTGTTCGATGGCTGCTCGGGGTTGATTTCCGCCCTCGCACAGCCAGAGCCCTCCAGCGCCCGCGATCAGATTCGTCACCTGCGGCGGGAGGTAGTTCATCGCCGGCGCTGCGTACCAATCCTTCAGGTGGTGTGCGAGTTGTGGGAGTTGGTGGGTAGGACATTCGCCTCCTTCCACTTCGCTCATAACACATCTGGTAGTTCACCGGTACGCGGGAAAACGATCACAGGACACTCGAGCAAAATGCACTAGATTTTTTACGAAGTGGTTTCATAATGAAAAACTGAGTAGAAGACCTAGAATGAGAAGTAGAAACCAGGAAACGGAATTACCTGCAGGCAACGCAGCGAAATTCAGTGGAATTCATTTCCATGAGCATAGGGAAATAATCGTGGTATTCTCTTTGGTCGACATCGTCGAACATGGACGGCTTCCACTGCGGAAATTTGGCTGTCCGATCGTTGGGTGCTGTTTTGGTAAGCTTCGACCACGCTGCATCGACGTCGCTCAGATCGGCATTCAAAAACAGTTTTGCTTTCTGCGGAGGCAGAAGATGATCCAATCTTGTGGAGGGATCCATCAGCATTTGCTTCGTCTCGCTTAACGGGTTAATTAGGGTTTTACTCGTGCTGGCTGTTGTTTCCATTTCTCTAGGATTTGGGTGATTTTGAATCCTTTTCTTAGAAACGTGTATCAGTTGTTCATGGTTGTCTCTTTGAAGAGTCAGTTCTTTTGCAGCTTGATCATCGAAATAAGTGATACAATAGGAAGGGAATTATCTCTAAATTCAAATGATCTTCATGTTAATTAGAATATTTTGTCGGATTGAGAAGTATGATGTTAGATCCACAAACTCTAGGTTTATGATGCTTGGAAAGTCTTGATAAAATTTAGGAGAAAGGAAAAAACGAGGACTTTGTTTTTGTCATTCAAATTGAATTTTACGAATCATGTGCAAAAGCAGGAAATGTGAGTAAATAGCGCATATATTAACACATCGAAAAGTGACAGATCTATCCATAACCTGACCTTCTGTTCTGGAAATGCTCATATTTCACGTTTACAACTGTAGGGAGAGTCTTGGATATAAACAATTGAACTATGACTATTCTCTTCATCTTCAGAAAAAGAATTTCTATGCTGGCAATCTCAATCTAATGGATGTGATAATACTTGCTTCGTTTGATACCATAGAGAAGAAATATTGAATGCGCTAACAAAATGCCTAATCCAAAGGTCGAGTTAATTGGTTTTTGTACTAATGATCTTTTGTGTACAAGAATGTGCATATTTTAGGTTTCAGTCAACAGATTGAAGGATAATCGGAGTGAAATGAATCAAGAGCAGAGAACTGGAAAGACGTAGAACGTTTTACATTATTGAGGAGTCACATCCCTCTTTGCACCACACTATTAAATAGTCATTAAAATCCATCTTAATTTAATTTAATTTAATTTATTATTATTATTATTTTTTTACGAACATTGTACTGAAGAAATAACTTCAACACAACAGACTTCCCAAGCTCCAGCCAATAACAACGTAAATGATTAAAGAACTAAATAAATAGTCCACTTCAGCTGATCTGAACTTTACAAGCTTCCCCAGTTGTTTGATTTACTTAGACCTCGTTATTGCGTTACACTTTGACTTCACATTATGCACAGTTCATGAAACCATGCACTGTGAATGCCATGAATTGTCTACCACCTGAAACAAGAAAAATAACAGATATATATATATATATATATATATAACATTAAGTTCATACACACAGATTTTAAAATCGTGGTTGAATGCCGTCCTTCAATGCACACCACAGCAAAGTTTCCAATCTGCAAACCTTCCCCATATTTTCAAAGAAAACACGACAAAAAGAGAAAAAAAAGAAGTTCCAGTTCCACTTGAAGTGATGGAGATCATTGATCTCTCGCCGAATGCAGTCAACGCTGTCGGCGATGAGGATGTTATGAATCTAGGACAGTTCCAGCGAGGAATCTGAATTTCTGGCTGGTGCCCCGAAAAACCTGAGATGGAAAGGGAAAACAACGAGGCATGCACGCATGCATTAGTAGTGGTGGTAGGTGCACAACAACTTGATGATAGCTAGAATCAGGGATTTGGCTGCAGGTGGTGCGCACCATGGGCATGCCTGATTGCTGCAACGTAGTCATTGAGTTGGTCAAGGCGACTCTAGTCAAATCACCACCATCGTCAACATCATCGCCATCTCGCGCAGCTCCCGACTTGACATATATTCATGTATATAATCAAGTTACATGTTCCTGGATTATGAACAACGCCGTGGCTGCAGTTGGAGGTGAAGGAGAGGCGATTGAATATATATCTATATTTACCCATGTCACTCAAGCCCCCCACTTCAATCCACGTGCGAAGCCTCCTCTCAGATGTGCTGTTCCACTTCTAACCTGCTTCCTGAGGGTCGTTGCTGAAGTTGTTCGCAGCACTGAATTGTGATGAAGCGGCCTGGGTTGGAAATGGAGGATGTGAAAATCATGGGTCGACGCAGCAAAGCATCGGCGAGGTTCAGTGGGAGTGATCCAATGAGAGGTGAAGCGAGTCGCCACGTCGAAAACCTGGACACTGGTGGTGTTGGAGACGAGGTGCAGATCCAATCGGACGCCGGGAGAGATGCTGATCATCAGGTCTTCGGGTATCTTTCCAACAGCCGAACGAGCGTCCACATCCCCGAGTCCGGCATGATCCCCCAACTTCGATTCAATCCAGGTAAAACGATGATAATTATGAGCAGGACACATCTTGTCAACAACGCAATTGGGGCATCAACGGTCTTGAACAATCATATATGAACCCCTCAAACTCTGATTCAAAGTTCTGGATCGCAAGAGAAGAGATAGAATCCTATGAAATAGCAGTTCAGCTATGACTCAATCAGTTCTCTTGTGTCAATGTTTGCTTGTTAGAGATCGAGGACATGAACGAACATCATCATCATCATCATCAGCAGCAGCAATACTATGGCGACAGCCCAAATACAAGCAACTCTGATCTCACGGATAATGAGCAGTTCCGAATAAATCCGGTGGAGGGCGGTTTCATCGGCCGTTCTGGTGCAGGACCCCCTCTTCCTATAATTCTAAAGGTGAGTTCACCCACACATTCAGTAATGTATAACGGCTCCTCCATTGCAGTGCAGTAAAGCATTTATCTACTCTGATCGTCCCACTTAATCATGATGCGTACAGTTTGAAGATGTGAGTTACAAAGTGGAACTGAAACCAGTGAAACAAGCATGGGCCACGCGCCTGAAATCTTTTGCCAAAGTGCGCCACAGCCCATCAACGGAGAAGAAGATATTAAACGACATCACCGCCTCGGTTGCTCCAGGGGAAATGCTTGCTTTGATGGGCGCCAGTGGGAGCGGAAAGACGACTCTTCTCAACATTCTGGGCGGACGACTGGCGCATCAAAAGAATGTGACTGGCCAGGTGACTTACAATGGTCGCCCTTACTCAACCGCACTCAAGAGAAGGTATGCAGGATTTTATCCAGTAAGACCCAACTGCTCTTGATCAACCGTGACCTGGATCACAAGTACAATGAAATTGACATCGGGTTTGTGTGAAGGATGGGGTTTGTAACACAAGATGATGTGCTTTTTCCGACGCTCACAGTAAGGGAGACTTTGGTGTTTGCTGCGCTCTTGAGACTGCCGAGCTGCATGAGCCAGCTTCAAAAGATTCAACGAGCCGATACCGTTCTCATCGATCTCGGTCTCGAGAGGTACTCCGACTGCAATCACGCACAATGCATTACTTTACCAAGCGATGCGAACTTGTAACTGATCTTCACACGTATTCACTAGTTGTTCACTTCAGGTGCAAAAACACGAGTATTGGAGGGCCGTTCATACGAGGAGTGTCAGGGGGTGAGCGAAAACGCACTAGCATTGGCTATGAAATTCTCGTGGAACCCTCACTGCTTTTCTTGGACGAGCCAACTTCCGGACTCGACTCTGCGACTGCTCTCAAAATTCTCAACGTCCTGCAAAAAAATGCTCTGGTATGGTGAACTTCCAAATCTGCTACGGGATCCTTGAGTCGACGATGAATCAAAGCTTCATTAAAAGGTTTCAAATTGTGATAGTTCAATCGTGACAGTTCAATATTTCGATACAGGCAGGCAGGGTAATTGTGACGACAATACACCAGCCATCGAGTCGCATGTTTCACATGTTCGATAAACTCGTACTCCTTTCGGAAGGCTATCCTCTATATTCTGGATATGCAAGTGAAGCAATGCAGTACTTTGGCTCTCTCAGTATTGCACCGCAAATCGCGATGAACCCAGCAGAATTTCTTCTTGATTTGGCCACGGGCGTTACTAACGACATTACAGTGCCTGAAGATCTTGAAAGTGGGATTAATCTTAGAATCACTCGGCACATGTCACAACTTCGAAACGACGATGCAGATTCTCAGCGGGAGTTTGTTCTTGATGTATGCAAATCTGCCCAATCGCCATTTGAATTTTCGATTCATGAAGCAGATGGCGATCAATCCAACAAGTCACAGTTTTTGATTGTTCATGTCTTAATCCTTGTGGTTTGAAACAGTACCTGAGAAAAAGTTACAAGTCCTTGGTAGAGCCACTAGAGAAACAATCTCTGCACCAGATGGCGACAATCTCGAAGGATCTCGGGCGGGCTACAAGAGCGAAGAAAAGGTGGACATCCTCCTGGGGAAGTCAGTTCCTCATACTATTCAAACGAACATGGACGGAGCGTCGCAAAGATTACTTCAGTGCCCTGAAGTTTGTGCAGGTCAGAAATCCACACCTCATCTCACGAATCTTCGACTGCCAATGTGCTAACAGAACGAACCTCAATGTATTTCACCCTTGATTGAGCAGGCTATAGGAGTGTCCGCGCTTCTTGGCCTTCTCTGGTGGCAGGGGAAGCTCGAAACAAATGCCAACATTCAAGACCAGCAAGGTTTACTATTCTATATAAACATCTTTTGGACAACGTTTTCAATGTGGACAACACTGATGACATTCCCCATGGAGCGGCAGTACCTAGCCAAGGAGAGAGCTGCCGACATGTACCGATTGAGCGCGTATTATTTAAGCAGCACAATCTGTGATGGCCTGGCCGAACTCATCTACCCGACTCTCTTCATAGGAATCCTGTACTTCATGGCAGGTCTACGAAAGAGTCTGGAGGCGTTTCTCTATACCCTGCTTGCGACGTTCCTGATCGGCATCACGGCTCAGGCATGTCCACCGGCTTAGTATTTGAAGCCCCAATACTTTGAAGGTTAAGATTCTGGCTTCAAAGCCTCAACAAACATTCTGAATCGTGCCAGTTGTGTTGGACTCATACCTTGACAGGGGTTTGGAGAGATGTTTGGGGCAGCGACGTTGAGCCTGAAATCCGCCGGAGTGATAGCATCGATCTTCCTTCTCATATTCCTCCTTGCTGGAGGATACTACGTTCGGGTACTCCTTCTAACCAATACAACTCTCAGCTTTTAGAAATTGTTTATCGACAAAAATAAAATGACAACAATCAATAGGTCTGAAGAGAACGCCCTGCTCACAAGCCATGGTCGCCAACGCTTGCAGAAAATGCCACCATTCATGAGATGGATAAAGTACCTGTCCTTTGTATACTATGGTTATCGACTCCTCCAGAAGGTTCAATACACTCCAGACCAGACTTATAGCTGCGCCACAGGATGTGAACCAATTTCAACCTCTCCAGCTCTACATGAGTTGAAGCTCAACTCAGGAGTGCAGGAAGCCTGGGTGCTTGTGCTCATGGCAATCGTATACCGTCTCGTATCCTACTTCAGCCTCCACAGAGTATAATGCTGCAGGCTGTGCACAGTAAGACGCACATTGTTTACCGTTGCTTGAAGCGTTGGTCACATCCACGAAGATAGAGAAATTGCAAGTCGATGAATATCCACTTGCATAGATAAAAAAAACTCTTGCTCCTACATTTCTGAAGCAAGTGCTGAACTGAATGCTTTCACAGATGTACCACCATAAAAGCAGGGCCACCAAGTAACAACAGTAATTGAGATTACCATTGCTTGAGGCTGACACTCCACACTCGATCAAAACACGAGAGCAAGGTCTCATTGTATAGTCATAGGTACCCTTGTTCGATTTACAAGTCAGAATGCGATCGCTAGCGAGCAATATGTAAAACATAAGGAACTGGAAAAAGTTCGAACCATGAAAAAATTTAAATAATTAAACAGCACTTTTTCTTTTTTTTCTTTTTTTCTTTTTTTTCGGGAAAGAAGTTGAAATTTTTAACAATTGAAAATGTTGCTGTAATGTGATCAACTACAAGCTTGGACTATGCTGGTCAATCCTAAGAATAAGAACATGATTGTTCTCGATGCAAACACAGATGGTAACCGATTCAAGTTATTAAATCTATCAAATCCAGAGCTATCTACGAAACGTTGTAATTGGAATAATATGCTCTAATTCAGATGTTCACCGGATTGCTCCGACAGCAGCAGAAGTGAGAAATGTTATACACACATTTCCGGTCACCTAAGTAGGCTATGAACCGACCAAGACTGAGTAACTTGATATATACGTAGAGCCAGCCACCAAAGCCACCCAGGGTGGGAAACTTCTGGAAAGATGTGCCGTCGTGTCATCCACAACCTGGTCGAGCACTGCAAGGTCTATACTGAGCTTCTCGAAAGCTTCAGTTTCTACCCAAAGCTGCCAGACTCCTCCCGCAGGTTTCCCAGACAAGCGTAAAAAGTACGAGGGCACACCATTCTGATCTACGCTCTCTGGACTTGGGAGCTCCTGATCCGCCAAGGACCAGCTTGCAAGCCGGCCCGTAATGTTCATTACTGTAGACCATACCTGCTCCAATGCTCCCATGTGTACCTCTAGGTGCACGCGACGCCTTGCTGGGTTATTCGTTTGTGCGTCTCCTTCTTCGAGGTTTTGTTGCACAACTCGCAAATAGGGCAATGGTGTAGCCACACGGACAGTGGTGTGTAGTGTTGGTATCTCTGGAGACAGAGTCAAGAGGGTGCAAATTGGATACAAGGCGAGAAAAACATTGGGGTTGGGTTTCGACAAGCTCGCATCTTGAGGATGGATGTGAAGCATTCGAATAGCTTCTGGTGAGTGCTTCCACACAAAATCCATAGGGTTTGGGTCGATTGTTGCGAATGTGTAGCCTGATGCAAGCACTTCAGTTGAACCGTTTGTCTGGTAAGCATGCGTCAAAATAACCCGTTTCGGAGCGTGGAAAGAGTAAGGGAATAACAGAGAGGAAAGGGCTGCTGAGCATATGCTCACATAGAAAAGGAAACGGAGAACTGGAGGCCTGCCAATCCACCTTGCTAGAACTGGCAGCAATGGACCCACGGTGGCGCCAGCAAAAATCCCAAAGACCACCGCTAGAATCACATCAGAGACGTAAAACGAGATCGCTGGGGGGAAGGTGCCACTCATCCCCATTTTCTCTGTCATCAACTGGATAGTAATTCCTGAGTAGTAGCACATGTACCCGGCGGGCAACAATCCAGGCAAGATGTATCCAGCTGCGGCCAAAAGTGAGTCCTTCCCAAACCATCTCTGACAAAACCGCATGGTCGACAGCGCTGGTATCATAAAGAAGGCCCAGAAGAAGTTCATGTACCCAATACTGATACCAAGCGATCTGTAAAAGATAGCTAACGCCGCATTTAAAGCTATCCCTCCCCAATGAGCGCTCCAATCCAATTCCTTTTCTTTTTGCTCGGTCAGTGGCTTATGATTATCTCCGTAAAGACCCACTCTCGGAATCAAAAAGCCAGCAATACAGACGGGAACGAACATGAGATATGATATCCAAGGATGTGCAAACCATGTCATCGCTGACTTTGAGACAGTGAGACGTAGGATGGCAAGCACTACGGGCAGGATGAAGCTGAGCAAGCTTCCAACAAATTGGAGACTGACCCCCCGCAAAATGGCTTTCATGCGAGTAGCAACAGTAGCAGGTGCTCCTTCAGAGGTTGAACGCATTCCTTGGAAGAAAAGCACATAGAACAATGGCAAGGCATGCAACGCCAGAGCCACCGTCTGCGAGTAGCTGATCATAAACATTCCATAAAAATCAAAGAATATGGGACGTTTCTCCACAAGGTCGGGATGTGCGGCTCTTACTGAAGCATTCTTCAGCTCCGGTGCGGTAGTAAACCCTTGCAGCAACGCAATAAGATTCTCCCCTCGCGCTTGTAAACTCTCGCGTGAAATTCTGTCAGCCGTATCATAACCAGTGTGATATACATATCCCTCCAGAACGAAAATGATGTCCAGGCCGGGAATGTCACCGAAATCCTTTGTAAATACTCGGTAGTCAGTATCTCCAGGTATAAGCGGCATGACATCCTGAGCGACAGTATTTGCCATGGGATGGACAGCATTCTCACCATAAACTCTGGCAGGCCATGTCCCAGGGCCGGATTGAACCACTAGATCTGGACCACTTGCGCCAGACGCTTCAATGTTTATGACTGCTCCGATAGAGTCTTTCCACCGATGAGCAGTAATGAAACCGTGTGCACCTAAGAGGAACACCTCTTCTGCTCCATTGAAAAGGAAAACCAGAGGGGCTGGCGGAATCCAGTTCGTGTCCACAATATACCTCATCACTTCCATCATGCTTGCCACACACGAAGCACAATCTGCTGCTCCAGGAGACCCCAAAGGACCGTCGAGATGCCCATTTACAAGCACTGTTGCATCTCCTTCCTGAGCATCTTTGCTTGAAATCCTCACTGCCAAATTGCGATGATTCTTGTAAAAGTTGGAGACAGAGTGCCCCAAGAAATTGAGGTTGAATGAGCCATCTACGAGTGCGTCGTCTATTTCGATGATGAGATCAGAGTTAGCTCTGTCTTTCATGTCGTTTAAAAATGAGATGACATATGAGAAAGATTTCGCAAGACCAGAAGTTGCCTCCTGCCGGCCAACAATGTCAACCGCAAGTGCTCGGATGTGATTCATTGCCCTTTCTTGCGAAAACTTGTTCAGAGGTGCCGATTCTGGTAGTGGAACTACATGTTTTTGGTACATAAATTGCCTAGCTTGCCATATCAAAGGGGTGAAAAATATGAAAAGGACGAAGAGTCCTCCCAGACTGAGAGCAACAGCGTTTCTGGACGTCTTCGCAACCGCATACTTTTTCTTCTCATCCTCTTCGTCAGTCCGTAGTAAGTCCTGATTGAGAGTTTCTCTATTGCTTTCTGAAACCAGCTTGGAGTTCTTCCTTCTCAACATGTTGGCGGCAATATATATGGCCTGGAAAATGTCACAGTTCGCCAAAGGGGGTCATACCAAGGAGCTGCAGCAGCGATACTACGACCACTGTGTTGTGCTCGCAAACGTCAATGAGCCCGGCGACATGCACGCGGTTGATCTTGCATTACTCGCGAATTAGATACATCACTTGGATTACATACCCACCTTCTTGACATTCTTCAAACCCCTTCCTGACGCAAAAAACTCTTGATTAGAACCGACAAGAATATCGCAAATGATGAGCTAGATAAACCCACACAAAAATGCATTCAAGTCTAATTCAAGCAAGAAACACAACAAAGACTGTCGATAAAGTCTCGACATATCCAACGCAGCCGAAATAGATACCTCGAAAGTTCGAATTTCGCGAGACCTCTAAATAAGGTGACGTATAAATGCATCCAAGTGACGGTAGGAAATGAATGCAATAATAAGTAGCACTGCAGCGCGACGACCGTACGATCAATCAAAATTGACTAAACCAGACAGAAATCATCGGAGCAATTGGTGCAACGTCCGCGAACAAATTCTAACCAGACATTGACGAACAACACGACCTAAAATCAAACACACCTGCTACAATCCCAACATCCAGACGCCAATTGACGTTATTCCAATGCGGTACATGCAACAGAGAGTCGGAAACTTTTCCGCCTTCGATGATTACCAGTCCTGCACTCACTAAGAGTAGAGACGCCACGAACCCCAGGCTACTTCACAACGATCACACACACACAAGATTCCTACACGAGGTAGGATATAGTACAGCAAGCTCCACCACCGACTTGTGAGACATCCTAGCATCAAAGGAAATGGATGGTAACTACCTTATATAATTTGAAACACCAAAGCAAGAACAACCGGTCCGTTTGAGACTACGAACAAGCCTGCACCGCTTAAGAAACCGAAGAAACTCACTCAATCTGCAGCAGACGAAGCGAAGTTTTTCCTGACACACAGAAATTCTCGGATAGAGAAAAAGAGCACGGGATGCGGAGCGCCAATTTCCCTTCGTCTTAAAATCACGGGAAGCTTGATAACATGCGAGGATCGCCAAAAGAGAAAAAGGGAAACACTCGATCATATAAGTTCACTGTGTATGCAAAGCGACGACGACGGTGAGGAAGAGGAAAGGCGCTCACGAAGTCAGCGAAGTGCGGTTGCCTCCGTGGCACTCCACGTAGGTCCATTTCGGTTCATAAGCATTGAGCTGGCAGATCGATTGTCGTGATGGACCACGGGTTTCAGGTTCACGGGAAGAAGGTGGTTGGTCATATGAGACAGCAGCGGAAGTTGCCCCCCCCTGTGACCGTGGGTTTAGGGTTTAGTCAGCTGCTTCATTTCTGGGCATGGCGTCGTCATTGCTCTCTTTCGGCCCTTGTGGTCTGCCGTTGTGAGGGTCGTGCTTATTTTGGACCTCCTCCGATATTTCCTGGTTCTCTGGTCCTGCACCGGTTTTGCTTCTGCATATTTGTGGTTTTTGAGCTGCGGATTTCAAGGGTTTAGACAATTTTCGTGTAATTTTTGGCTGAGTTTGGAGTCATGGCGAGCACGATAGATTTTCGGCACTTGGACGAGGGGCTCGGGGGTGCGAAGAGGAAGCGTAAGAGAGCGGAGGAAGAGGAGGCGGTTGAATTGGCCGCGGCGGAGGCGATGGATGTAGGCGAGGAGACGAAGCATGCCAGTAAGCGAGCTGCCGTAGCCGGAGATGGCCAGAATAAGCCGGTGTATGGACGGCCGACATATGACGGTGTGTTGGCGGGTAAGGTTTCAGGACGGAAATGGAAAGCGCACAAGACCACGCGTACCTCGGCGATGAAGGTGGTTGGGCGGAAGTCCACTTTGGAGGAGAAGAACCGAGAGAAGGAGGTGAAGCGGGCTTACAAAGAGCGTATGATGGAGCTCAAGGAGCAGATTAGGGCAAGTAAAGTTGAGAAGCGAAAGAAGAATGAGGAGCGTTTGAGGATTAAGAAGGAGAATGAGCTTCGAGGGCAGGCTGTGCAGAAAGTCACTAACCCCAAGACTATTAAGAAAATGTCGAAGAAGCAAAGAAAGCTCCTCAGGCCTGCTCCTAATTAGGTCAACTGATCTCAATTTCTCAAGTCATCCTTTGGGCTCCGCAACTCTTGGTAATTTTGTCATACATCAATTGGAAAAATTACTGTTATGTACATCGCACTTTTCGTAGCTGCGTGATCAATGCTGGTGTTTGTTGCCGGTGGGTTGGCTCTTCTTGGTCCTCCCATGAGCTGAGCGCTAGATATTGTCTATGAAGCTTGCGAGCTTGTTTGATTTGCATGCTCCCTATATCCTGGAGAACATTGAGCTTTGAAAATGTAACAATATTTAGTAATCTTCTACCAATTTTAAAGAATCTCAAATTTCGATTTTCTATGGGGCAATCGAGCTCGACGCCCTCTTTTAGGGTCTGTTACTGCCTGGACTATGAAGCAATGAAACGTAGCGGTAGTCAGGATGGATCCTTTTGAGTTCTTACTGTTTGTGTGCGTATCTGAGTAGCAGTGGACGCTCCTGAAACTTGTACCCTTTGTTAGCTAAGGGGAATGTCAATGGCACTCTCCGGCAGTGCCTCCGAGGCAGTGGCCTGAATTAACAGTGTTACAGTGCTGCTTCCTTCATGTCCACCTCACGTATTGTGCAATAGAAGCCATGCACCGCGTCCTTACTCTCACTGTAAGCCTCGTTTTGTATTGTATTATCGAATTGCGATTGCCAATCTTACATTGTTCCCGGTGTCACCGACCTCACTGATGAGCTCCAGACTTTTTTTTATGACTGTATACAATGGGGCGTAAAGGATCATCCAGATTCCGACGATTATGAAGTAGAAACTTGACTCGAAAGTGAACCAGATCAGACATATTGAGGCTATCTAAGCAACATTTATAAGCTATGAATCATACTCCGCCCCGTCTCATTGCAGCATGGTCTCCCTCACTGTGCTTGAAGCTAGTAGCGACGAAACTGGTGAAAAAGGCTGCAGAGTTGCTAAAATCTCAATAAACTGCATACTATTTTGTAGGTAGATCTAGTTTGTGATTTTTTTTATCTCTATAATTTTGCATGGAGTAGGTTTTTAAGGGAACTCAGAAAACGATAACATATATTTGCAGCGTTAACACAGAAAAAAATGACGCTGTTTTAGTATTTCTCTCAAAAACATGCTATCAATTTTTTGTTTGATTCTTTTTTAAAGTAATTTTTTTATCTCATTTTCACTTATTTATTTATTTATATTCTTAAGAGCAGTTCTCAGCGAGACTTCTTTTTGTGAGAAATCACTTACCTCTCTAAAAGAACTCTACCTACTGCGAGATCTCAATCGAATATTCAATTGATAAATTGTATATGCCTAATATTCATAAATTAAAATTATTTATTATATTTCCATTTTAATAAGGAATATTAAGGTTTTATGAAATTAAGAGTTAAGATATTTTGATTGGTTGAATTGAGAAGTCATTTTAAGTTGGCTTCATACTTAGAAAAAATAAAATTCAAATACCATAAAAGAAAAAGATGAGATGGGATGTAAGTTTTTTTACATGGCATGAATGGTGTTATTTCTTGGAATATATAGCAAGCCAATCTCAAAAATATGATTCTTTAAAATAAATAAAAAGTTGTGTCAGAAAATGCTTAAAATAATAACAAAATTAAAGTTTCTTTTTAATGCTTCTTGTGAATATTTAAATTATAATTTAACTAATTACATATGCCAGATGTTGTGGAATAATTATCAATAAATAAAAGAAAACTTAGAGAGACAATGATTTTTAATACAAAAATTAATAACATGTACATTTAATTTTTGATACATATACACACATACATGTATGTATGTTAAGTGACATTATTGTAAAATAGCCAGACAATTTTACCCCTTAAATTAGCTTTCGCAGACTTAAAAATCAGATAACAATGTCTTAGCATTACAAATTGCATGTCAAGACAAGAAAATGTTTTACAACTAATGGAGCTTTTCAAGTGGGGTATGTGTACAAATGTATGTGTACTAATGTATGTGTATAGATAATTTTCAAAAACATTTCAGATTTTAAAAAAGGTTAAAGTAGAAACTTGGCATGTAAATCCTTTTATTATTATGTATTTTGTATCAATATATTAGGTTTTTCTCTTTAAAATTCCTATTAATATTAAAATTTTGATATTCATAATTTATGGACACAAATCATGCTTCTGACTTATGTTGGTGTTTGGTCTTAAAAGTTTTGGACAATAGACATTACATTGCAAATTCATGCACAAGACCAAACAATAGCTTTTCAATGTAAATTTATTAGGTAACCATAAAGTTGTAGATTCATAAAGTTCACTCACTTTATTTTTTGTTTTTTATTTTATTTTATTTTGTATCGAAATCATTATTTACAATGCATTTTTTTTCATGTGATAATATTCTTGGACTATGTCACGTAGGTACATGTCCATTTCATTTAATTATGAGGTGAGGACAAACTCTTTGCAAGGATACTCTTGTGGGGGCCCAATGCCTATGGAGGCCAGGAAAAGCAATAAAATGTTTCAATATCTTTAAGATTATTTAACTTTATGAAGCTTGGGGGGGAAGCATTTTTGAGAAGGAAAATACAAATGGTACAAAATGGGTGGGGATTTCACAAAATGAGGTTAGATTCTTTCATGTAACCATTGTTTGCTTTAAACTAATATTGTGGTGATAATGGGAATAATAATAATTTTGAAACAAAACAAAAAATAAATAAAAGAAAAATAGAGAGAGAGAGAGAGAGAGAGAGAAAAGAGAGAAAAGAAGATAAAGTATTTGATTTTCTAGTTCTTTTTAGATATGCAAATCTGATCAGTTCTTTTCCTTTGATATGTAGAAATTGGCCAAATTATTTGTAGATTGATGATTGTAAGTTATATCACAAGTAAATGTTTATACAAATTTTAACAAACTGTGCAAATATGTATAATATCCAAACAGTTTTTTTTTTTTTTTTTTTTTTTTTTTTATAACTTAAAAACAGTATTGTTTTCTATATAAATTCAGTTATGTATACATATGCATATACATTTTGATATGAAACATGTTGTCAATCATACACTCTAATGTGAGGCATGTTTTCAGTCATGCATTTCGATGTGAAACATGTTGTCAATCATTTTGTTATCATTTTGAATGGTTCAGAGTAAATCAACCCTTGCATAATTCTGATCCAACACAATTTTCTTATTTATGAGAAACAAGGTAAGACATAGTTCAAATTTATAAATCCCTACACAAAACAATAAAATTAACAAAAATCAGATATGTATTACAATCCTCAAATAAATACACTATAATTGTATTTATTTTCTCTTATAAATGATCAAAAACTATGAACGTTAAATCTTTTCAACATCTGATTGAAATTCATGCTTATATTCTACAGAAAGCGAGTTTTGGTCTTCAAGTGTTAAGTTGGTTTTGCACAGCTTTATTTGTTGGATACTCCTGATTATATGGTCTTTGATCAAGTTCAAGTATCACAACAAAATATTCCTTTCAAAATTATATTTAATGAATTTGATTTTTGAAGTTTTATAATATGCTTGTTGAAAACAGTTATTGCATGTTACTGCAAGTAGATGTGAAAAGAAACATTTGATCACACTAAATTTAAATAGGTGAATAGCTCGGTATTTGCATTGCCTCAAGGATTTTTTACTCGAAATTTCTTTATTGATTTTGATTTTTAGATTTTTTTTAAAGATAAGTACCCATGTCAATACTTTTATTTTTATTTAAAGCACCTTTTACAATTATTTTTATGTCAATGTAAACTTGGTATGTATCTATTCATTGTTGTCTGTTAAGAGAATATTCCCACTCTGTTAATTTCAACAAAACCAGCATAAATATATATATATATATATATATATATTTTTAAACTGCATGTTATATATAACAATAAGTGAAAGCTCTAAAAAGAAACATGGTGTTTTATTTAAACTAACTCATAAATTTAACAAGATGTTTTGTGATGTATTATAAGTTTTGAAAATTGTATGCATCATATTTTTTCGAGAGAAAAAAGAAAGAGTCTTAAACAACATATAAAAATGATTTAAATTCTTGTTCAAATATTCTATTGACAACCACGTCATGCTTTAAAATATCACCTTATCTTTAATCCTATCACCTCCTTTGTTTAATTTAATTTCAATTATGTCTTGGAAGTCATGTGCAAGATTCTCAATTCTTCACTTCCAAGTATTATTTCCGAGTCCAACTTGAATTCATTTAGAATCTTATTACTTCAAAATTTAAACGGTTTAGTGAATCTGGCATTTGATTAGGATTAAACTACACTATTTTAGGGGGTGCAGCACTACCCCCATCTGCGCTGTGTAGATGAATACTACTTTGCACACTAAAATTTATGGTGTATGATAAAACATGACGGTAACCCAGTTTGTTCATTTAATTTGTGTCACTTAGTGCCTTACTGGAATTCATATTAAGATAAACTTAAGGTACTTAGCTGCAGCCTCAGCAAGCTGGTTCAAAACTTCCCCCTTTGCACGCTTTCCTCATGAAAACGTCTACTACCCACTAGAAGATATCAGCGTGAAAAATTAGCAAACAACGATCAAATTCATTGAAACTTCTCAAGGGAGACAGTGTTCACGATGAGGTGAGGTTGAGTGAAAAAATGAAGGCGTGATGTGTATCATTCAGCTAGTAAACTATGGCGATGGTGATCATTACGATGAGCAACATCAATGGATGGAGTGGGTGGAGAACATCATGTGTTATATTAGAAACTGCAGTGACTTGTGACGATGGGGACAACGAAGGAATGAGGAGTCAACAACGAGCCATGAAAGTACAGGACAAACTGCAAAGGAGGAAGCTGTTTTTTCTTACTGTTCGACACGACACCAGTAGCATGAACACTTAAAATGTGAGATGATGGCCTTTGAATTTCTTTTCTACACACATGAAGATGGCCTTATGCACCTGGAGGGTCTCGTGTGGAGCGAACTAAGTTGCCGGGTCCGGAGAGGCAACCAGGAAAAATTCGCGTCTCGGACGGATATATCTGGTCAAATCATGGACATGTACACACCTACACTGTTCGACTAGCCTTCTCGTTTTTCAAGTTCAGCCAGAGCTTATTGGTAATGAACTCTGACGGAGATCGTTCAGTGCAAAATGTCAATCCCATGGGCAGCGCCATCTTTGTTGCAGCCAGAAGATTGATTTCCACAGATAGCTACTACTATATGAATACCTGATCAACTGTTCCTACACTGTGACAAGAGCCAGCGACAACGCTACCACAAACATCATCAGACTCCGAAAGAGGGTCCTCTTCACCACTCGCGTCGCACCACTGCCAATCCACCACACACAAGGTCACAAACCGTTCGACATGTTCAAACAATGCAGGAATCGACGAGAACATGACATAACCCAAAGATGATGTGAAGGCTCACCTCGGTACGTAGTAGCAGCTTCCATAGCCTGCAAAAGTCACCACAGATTTCTTAGCAAATAGTGCTCTAATTCTGCGACTGGACATATAACTGGCAGAGACTGCTTCTCAGAAGTTTGACACATTGGGTGGCTCAATGTACGTACTGGGATCGACATAAGTCAGCTCTGCGTCTCCGCCGAATATACACGACCGGGGATCCGTTTGGAACCAGTGGTAGTGGATGTTAAACGCATAGGAGGCGTGCGAGTAGGGTGTGTCGGGCAAGTAACAGTCACCGCCACGTTGAATGGGGTCGCACTTGGCCTTCCCCGCTCCACAAGCCCAGTCAATTCCCTACACAGACCATCAACGCAGCTCCACACAATCAATCCCACTCACCATCCATCAGTCACACCCCTAGTCGAAGCTCAGACTGTGGAGGATTCTCCATTCCACATACCTGTATCAAGCTGGTATTAGAAGCGCTTGACTTTGCAATGCACCACACTTTCTGGCCCGGGATTGCGCCACCACTGCTACCTCCTCCACCGCCACCACCGCTTCCAGGAGGTGATCCAGGAGTGGAACCATTACCGCCGCCTCCGCCACCACCGCCGCCAGGCACATCACTCCCATTCAAATAGTTAAACCCGTACTTGTGCGTCCCGTTCACGTAGAATAGCCCCCAATGCTGCGCCGATGCGGGCGGTGTCGGGCGCAAATTCTCGTCGTACAGGCTCACAATGTAGGCGTCGAACTCCACGCCAGGCCGCATCGGCGTCCCGGAGTTGTTCATTGACCGCTTCACGAGGTTCTGGTTGTACATTCTGGCATTCCAGTAATTCGCCGCTGGTTCATAAGACGGGTCTCCGTCGGAAGGCCAGCCTGTTTCGGTAACAGTTACCCCCACCGTCTTGTTGAGCTTAAGACAAGCCGCGATCACTGCATCGATTTGCGCGTCGTACAGGGAATTGTAAACCAGGCCATTGCCGGCATCAACAACAGGGGACGCGGGCTGGAAGAGAGCGTAGTCCAGCGGGACAGAGCCGGAGACAATGCTGTTCTGGTAGGAGTAGAAGGGGTATATATTGAGCATGAAAGGAGCCTTGGTTTCCTGGAGAAAAGCCAGCATGGGGTGTACTACTGCCGTGAGCGAGTCGAAGAAATGGCCCGCGGATGGGGGGTAGGAGACGTCCAACAGGCCGATTCCATGCGGCGAGGATACCTTGATGGAAGCGTCGTAGCCAAGCCTGACAAGGGAATTGTGGATGTTCTGCATCGCCGGGACGAGCGACGAAGAAAGATCGGGCCTGCTCGTGATGACTTCATTACCCACGGCGATGGCGTTGATATTGGTTAGACGGATGTAAGGGGCGACGTACTTGTTCACCCAGTCATCCGCAGAGCCTTGAGAGGCCGCGATGGCGGGTATCTCTTCGTTAGTCACCGCAATCATCACACGAATTTGAGTGCTTGCGAAAGCTTGGATAATACTGGGGTCGTGATCGAAGATTCGAACCCTGGATATATCGTACTGCTGCATAAGCGCGGCGGCGGTAGTGGCATCCGGGATGTTGTTGCCATTGCGTCCGTAGACTGCTCCGATAGCCGTCGCGTCTATGTATACGCACACAAGCATATTTCCGGTTACATGATAGACCGAAGACAACCGCAGATACCTTATCCTCGGTTCTGCTTGAAACGTTGACGGAGGCTTGTGTGAGAACTGAAAGTTGAGCTAACTCACCTGCCAGTGACCAGAAGAGGGAGAAGACGACCCAAGTGGCGAGCAGCGTGCTCCTCGCCGTAGACACCATTGTCGTGCTGGACCTTCGCTTGAAGGTCATCAACCCAGTGCCGAATACTGATTTCCTCACAGCACCATAGCCAGTGCGAAAATCACAAATAACCTACCCCCTAGCATGCATGTATTGAATGTGAGAGGATCCAGATCTATACTGCTACCGAGCTAGAAACCAATCCTGTAAGCCTCATCGATTCCTGTGGGCGCGTCACCCATGGCCAGTCCGAATTCCGCCACTAGCAGCGGTAAAATCTGCAAACGTTATCAGGAAGACTCAAACCTCTACTCCAATCCGCCACTGGCAGCAAGGAGAACCCAGACACTGGGTAACCGAAATGCTCACGCACCGGAAGCTGGGTAATCTCTCTCTTCCTCTCAGATTATCAGACGCAATCCCTGCCCAGTCGTCGTCGTTTACATGCCCCGAGTCTAAAGAATATAACCGACACTAGAACCGGACATTCAAACAGCAGCAAGACTCGTTCAACTACAGTGAGCAAGTAAATGGGGCGGCGCAAACCATACCTGAAGGCTGATATGATAGTATGAGCTACTTCAAATGGCGGACAAGACTCTATCAGCACGATCACTCCCCACTACTCGTCCACCGTAAATGTCTAGCGAGGCAGACTAGCTTGGACTGGTTCCGATACACAAGGATGGTGATCCGTGGACGCCAGCTCGCAACACCGAACCAAGCTCAGCTCGAAAGTTCGCTGCAACAGACCTCACAACCATCCAAAATTACCCGAACCCTAATGTTGCACTCTGCAGCACTGGCGATTTAGATGAGGTTGATTCAGCCCGGCTCATATGAATTCTTTCGCGCAAGCCCGGCGCCAGATCGGCTGATTAGCACTGGCGAGGAATCTAAAATGACACCTTTCGGGGATTCGGAGGCACACAGGGACCCCTCAATCAGTGCAGTATCGATCTACGAGTGCACACACGATCCCCCCCCCCCTCCCCCCCTTTCTGTACATAACGGGCTCTTGGGTCTCGTAGTAGATTTGTGGCAGTTCGTTGCAGTAGAGCAGGAGCCGGGGAGGGGGTTACTCTTTTCTTTTTTGCATTTTCTTTTGACTTTGTCGCTGCCACCTGTGCTGCGTCCTGTCATTTCGCTTTTGCAGACTGATTAGTGTGCTTTTTGATGTGCCATCCCCGCCACTCGTGCCTTGGTGGCCACAGGGTATTAGTCCAGACATGGATGCGGTTTCATGTGTTTGTGTTGGGGAGTGCAGTACGTTGAATCCAACATCGTTTCACATACTGTAGGAGGACGCAATAAGTTCAATCTCGGCCCACCACGGTAAATGAAAAATTCCATTTCAAGTGGCCTTTCGTGACAAACCAGTCCGGACGCTCATACAGAAGAAAAATATATACCTACCCATGGATGTAATAGATCATGATACCCAACATATTCATCGCAAGGTAAGAAACTAAGTTGGGCTACATTTTCGACGAAAAGCTGAATCAGAAGTGGCAATGGGAGATAACAAAAACTGCACATTTCTCCACACTGAATGCAAATCGTACTTCACTTTCACCACCCAGGATCAAGGAATCAGATTGTTACTATATGTGTGTTTTAATTTTATTTCTGACAGAAATGGACATCAACGGCAGCACAAGTCGAACTGCTTTAGCGCGGGTTTTAACTACAGCTCTTGCGCGCGCTCTCTCTCTCTCTCCCTGTGTCCACGTGGTAGCAGTGCAAATTTACCTCAGAAAGCAGTGTCATAGAGGTTTGCGCCAGCCGCGTCCTCATGCAGATTCTAGACATCCTCAACGCTTGCGAGGAATTTGAGGTCTAAGGTGGTCTGTGGAGGAAGAAGTCCGACCCACAACGAGAGCCGTGTCGTGGTCCAAACCCCATTGACCGTCCTAATAATGGAGGATCTGCCAGGGTGCAAGCTGGATGGAGCAGCGCTCGCCACCTGGGTTGCGGCTCCGTCGTCTCCACACAGCGGCGTTCATCGCTATCGAGGAAACTCTTTTCCTCCTACAGTGATTTCCGCCTATTGTTTCTGCTGTTAGCGGAAAATGCATCGCCTCATGTCTCCGTGCCTTCCCCACGCTTCATTCGTCGCTGCCGCAGCCCGAACGGTCACACACGACCTGCGTCTCCCCGCATCGGAAGCTGCCTTTCCTCGGAACCTTAAATCGGGGTTCGTCTTTTCCAATTTCAAACATACCAATTCTATTATTGTGGATTTGAATGAATCACGTTGACCTGGCCACGTTTCCATCGTCGGATCGCATGCCAGCTTAGGGCGGCGAAAGGAGCCTCCTACATTGTTGCGGAGCCGTTCGCAGGAAAGGGTTTCTTGCAACGGGTCCAACCTAAGCTTCATTCAAAGTTTCGAAGGTCGTTGGGGGTGTGGACCAGGCTTGGGATATGGTGCGAATGGTGAGCAGTGCATGGAGAGCCTCATCCGTGATCCTGGGATGATGTTAGGGTCCGTGTAGCGGCATCCAGCAGGGAGCGATGCCGATTTGTCAGACCACTGATCCTTAGTTCCGGTTTGCAGCAGACGAAGTCTTGGTTCTCACAGTTGGTGAAGGACAAACACGTGTTGCATATGAAGACATGACGGAGAGTCGTTTTCATCCTGCACTGACTTCCGGAAACTTGCTCACATTTCCAGGTCCTTGAAGCGGAGAACTTCGTCGTAACAGTTGCAGCGCTTCTGATCAACCTGTGGCGAGATTTTGCAAGAGAACTACTGAAACCACATGAAACTTAACCAAGAACCCGTTCTACAGTGTTACGTAGGTTTTGTCACGGCATTGCGCAATGGGTCCCCATCGGCGCAAGATGCGCGTTGCTCCGTAGCATAGAATCAAGCAATGAGCAGCTGAGGACCGTAGCCAACCTGTCGTTCAAATCTGCACCAGAAGAATCGAAGTATGAGATTTTGGGAGTGAAGACAGACGAGACCGAATCCTGGGTGTATGTGAGAATTGCTCACCGATGTTTGAAATGTTGTGCAAATTTTAGAATTCTAGGTCAAATGCCGGGAGTTTCGCAAAAGCTGTTTCCTCTTTAACCTACCCTATGTGATGTTAGCTATTCAAGACATATTAGACCTCAGTGTTGAATACCATGCTGCAGAAATCCCCCCAATTGCCGAGATTAAAATTTCATGATTCGTGATCCGTGCAGCAGGTTCACATACAAAACATGGCTATCAAATTCAGCATTTAAGGCAGCTACTTGCAATCGGCATGCTCCTTGAGAGGTTGTGGCACCACCATGGTACAATGTCGTCAGCTCATCCTCGGAACATTTCTTTCGAGTTCTCGATTGCTGAAGTCGTGCACTGTAACAGGTTTAGGAAATTCTGACATGAAATCTCTTTTTTAACTCATGGCAATCCTTAACTTCGTCTCTGACCCTTGTCAGGAGCATCCCAATGCAATATCATGCACGGTATTCCTTCGCATGCACTTTCGCTGTACACGACACCCACTACATTCCCTAAGTTGATATTTTAGCACCTGAAACGTAATCCGCAGACGGCAGGTCGTTTCGTGATGACAACCCAGCATAGAATCCTGGCACGGATCGGTAACTACGACTGGCACGGAGACTCAAATTTGTTCCTGTTTCATTGTACTATGAGTCGTCGTGATGGGACGAGTAAGACTGCGAAACAATGGCAAGCAAATTAGCAAATCAGTTCTGATAAACCGCTCAGTTTCCTTTCAGTTAACTTGGTTCAACGATCGACACTACGATGTGAAGACGAATCGCATTCCTGCGTAACCAGCCCTCTTGATGCTAAAGCACTCTGTTACTACAAAAATTGATTTTACTCATGATTGCGTTTATGAGCGAGGACCAACATCAAGGTCATTACCCGTTGTTGAATGTGGTCTGGGATTCTGAACTTGCCTACAAGTACTGTAGTTCAGAATTGCATAGAGGAAGCGCAGCAGCTCATTCTTCTTTACTTGCACAAACCCTAGAACTCCAAACTATGGAGCTGCCTCAATTTCTGTAAAATCTGGGGGGTGGGGGGTGGAAACTGGAATGTGCGCACGTCTTCTTGCACAGCTTCTAGAAGCTTGCCCAGGGAGCCAAATTTCGTGCACGCCGCGCTTTGTGCATGTACGAGGGAGCTGGTTAAACACACTCTATCGATCCTGCCCCGCCGCGTGTCGCGATCGTTGTTTATGCATCGTGATTGAGGATGCAGGGTCCCCTCGCGATCCAATTCTCCTGCAAGTGCCTCGAAGCGAAATCCTACATGCACAGTTTCTAAGAGGCTGTTCTGTTCGCAATCCAGAGACTCCTTCCTGGTTACATCCAAAGTACAAATATTGACTTCGAGACGACCTTCAAACTGACTTTCAGCGGAATGCAGAATTGCGAACAAAGTGTACATTTTTATATGGAAAAAATTACTCCACATCCACAAATCTATGAAATCTTCTACGCGTGATGTTTGGTCTTCGTCAGAATGGGCTGAAATCTAGCTACAGAGCATTCAAAGTCATGTCCAAGTACGACCTCCAGACGACATTGTGGATCGCTTTGGGGCCTTTTTCCTATTCTTTAATCTATATTTAGGCTTGAATATTACGCCTTTCTCTCCTTCCTATCGTCCGCCTGCGACTCGCGGAACGCACTTCCGGGTATTAGCGTTGATTATGGTCACTGAATGTACCCGTATTGGGTTTAAGGGCCCCACACCAATCCTACCGAACCACACACGCTTGACGTTTTTGACCCACCCTGCCACACGGAGTCTTTCCTGTCACGAAGGGCGGACGATGACGACGACTTTCGTTTCTGGGAGCCACTATGAAGGACGATCTCCACTTTTCTTGGCGAGCTTGTCCCTAAGTTGATGCACAAAGCGGCACCACCAATCGCCGAAGTAATTTCGTGTGGGATTGCTTGATCGTCGAGGAATCCGAGCATGTGACAGGCAGCTTGCGGCGCAGAATTGTAATCGTGGCCTGCACTGGGAGGTGTGGGTGCGTTTGATTGTTAGCGAAGCCATCGTCTCCGAATCGCCGACGCCCGGTGTTGCAGCGACTAGTGTACAGTTTGTTCACTACCCTCGATCCCGTTGCAAAAATACTGGCCGGAAGGAGTTGAGTCTCCTTCGAAACGCAGAATTTGCTAGGTCCCGGCACTGCCCTCCTCTCCCCATGTTGACAGAAGCATAATTGATCGCTGACTAATAACGCAAAAGCGTCAATTCACTCGATCGCCTCGAAAATACTGTTGTAATAGCCGTGGGCCTGAATTTGTTCGCTTGTTGTTGATTATTGATCGAGAGCAGAAGAATTCAAAAATTAAACAAATTTGAGGTTACATCGAAGATGTGCTGATTTCATCTTATCGCGTCGCTTGGACTTTTCACTGTAGTTGGTGACCCGCCATAGCCAGATGCTCGCTGCAATTCCTCTGACGTGCGAATTCCTGGGTGCAGATTTTCAAGGATGGCTAGCGTTGGAGGTTTGTGCGAGCGAGACCTACTACCCCCGCAGAGTGAGTCTTCGGGGCTAGGACTTTTTTGGTCACGAACACCACGAAGCTGTGGAATGTCTTCGGCAAACAATGGCTGCTGCTCCATGGACGACAGAGAGCCTGAGGGAGGATGCAATCCGCGCCCATTCGACACTCACAGGTTCGCTTCTGCCATGGCTCTAGTCAAATTCGTGCGTGTATGTTGTGGATATTCACACCATAAAACGTAAGCCTTGAGGACGATTTGTAGGTTTGAGACGTGCCGAATTGTTTGGTGATTCCTGTACAGTGAAGAAAGAGCGGAGAAATTGGCATTGCTACGCAATCACGTTGGTGGAAAGACATCCACGCCGGAATTATCACGCATTCGGGCTCCAAGAAAAGGTGGAAAACGGCACCACAATGTGGTGAATGGCGAACGAGGCCTTTTGATGTCGTCGCAAGAAAATGGCGACTCCGAAAATGCGAACACGGATGGGATGAAGCGCTTCCGACCCAAGGTGAATGTCCACTGAAGTTGTTTTGGAAGCATACCCCATGCGTAGTTTCTGGGAATGTCATTATATACCTTGCAGCATTCATGGACCAACATGCACTAGAGCTGTGTTCTGCATTTTGTTCATTATTAACGTGATGATTTGTATTCTTGCAGCTACTGAGAGGATTGCCCAGTTATGTGAAGATTGTGGAAGTGGGGCCGCGAGACGGCTTGCAGAATGAGAAGACGACTGTCCCTACCCACGTGAAAGTGATGCTCATCCGCCGGCTTGCTGCAGCAGGCTTACCAGTTGTGGAAGCCACCAGCTTCGTGTCCCCGAAATGGGTGCCTCAGGTATTTATTACATGACAATCACCAAGTCATCACACGAGGACCAATGTATTTGCCCACATTTCTTGAAGCTGTAGATTGGATATTCCCGTTATTGAAATCGATTCGTCGTCGCTGACGAATTTGTTGTATTGGCAGCTTGCGGATGCGAAAGACGTCATGGCTGACGTCCGGCATTGTACGAGTAGGTGCCGATTTCCAGTGCTGACTCCAAACCTTCGAGGTTTTGAGGCAGCGATAGAAGCTGGAGCGAAAGAGGTGGCCTTCTTTACAGCAGCCTCTGAGTCATTTGTCAAGGCGAACATCAATTGTAGCCTGGAAGAGAGCTTGGTTCGTTACCGTCAGGTCTGCAAGGCAGCCAAAGAGCGCAACATCCCTGTTAGAGGATACGTGTCCTGCGCTGTCGCATGTCCTATCGAAGGGCCAATGTCGGCAGCCAAAGTTGCTTATGTGGCTAAAGAGCTCTACGACATGGGCTGCTACGAGATCTCTCTTGGTGACACCATTGGCGTCGGTACCCCAGGCACGGTCGTGCCGATGCTTGAAGCTGTGATGGCTGTGGTGCCAGTCGAGAGCCTGGCGGTGCATTTCCACGACACTTACGGGCAGGCTCTGGTAAACATCCTCGTCGCACTTCAGGTATGAAGCGTGCCTACTGCACCAAATTATTTCGTACCAGAAAATGAGTTTTGGTGATCGTTTTACAGTTCAAAAAACTGTTGGTAATAGTACTGAAGCTAATCCTACATGGCGATCAACTGAATGCAGATGGGCATCAGTGTGGTGGACTCATCGGTGGCGGGCCTGGGCGGATGCCCATATGCCAAAGGAGCTACCGGAAATGTGGCCACCGAGGATGTGATCTACTTGTTGAATGGCCTCGGCATCCAACACAATGTCAGCCTCGACAAAGTGATTGCAGTCGGTGAATTCATCTGCGACCAACTGGGCCGAACATCTTGCTCCAAGACTGCCACCGCTTCCATGGCGAAGCTCAAGTTGGAGAAGGCGAATATGTGATTTACAATAGCCACGTTCTCCAAACGGTTTTAATCTAACTCGTTTTTCACGTTTGAACTCTAAGACTACCAATTGACCCATTTTTCCATGAAAACCTGCCACTGGCAGGAGATTTCTGTACCTTGTCAATATGACAGTGATGAAATCACTTTCCATGCAATATAAAAGATTCCTTCAACGCCTCTTGATTTATTTAAATAAGGGGCACAAATTGTTCAAAAACAGATTACAGGATGTCTTTTTGTGAAGCACGCTCACACGAATGTGGCTGAAGTTCACAAACCACTACAGGCAAGCCCGACCCTAATAGTCCCAAGCATTGCTGGTTCCATACAAGTATGGTATCTGATGGGTATCCTGCCTCGCCAGCGTAGCCGTGTTCGGCGTCGGAACGATTTGTTTGTCTTTTAGCTCTTAGTGTTCCGCTTCACTCTCGATGCGGTCTCTAAGGGCGTCTTTGCCTTCGGGTGTGGAAGTTTCCATGACGGATTCATTCTCCATTGACACCCTCTGCTCTCACCACACATCCCTGTGACTCTTCCTCACGCCCTGTGTGCACGCCATCGCAGTCTCACCAATTCGTCTCTCATCCCAGCAGATCAACCTCTTTTGCTCTCGCCCCTCTTTCTCTCGCTTGCTTAACTCGGTCTCTGAAGATAGCATGCCAAATAAATTGGGAAAGCCCTCAAAAAGTGTTTGAAGAGAATTAGACTTGAACTAAGACTGATAATGCAACAGTTAGATAACCCTTGCTCGCCACCATGCCACACCACACCGCACCAGATCCCAACTGTTCCCCTGGCCTGACAGGAATCAGCCCTGGGCCCATCTCTTTTCACCAAGCCAAAAGAGAAAATTCAACATCACCTTTACAGCCCCGAAAACAAGCATTTGGTTGATGGCGTGGGAGGTCAGGAGGTGGTTGGCAATCACTATCCACTGGAACCTAGAACACCAATATCGTGAATTTTCTTTCCGTACATTTCTATCTGCAAGAGCTTATGACTAGACTCCAATGCAGTGTCATTTGAGGACTTGAGGGTGAGCGTTAGCTGCACGAACTAAGTTATGCATGGGATGTAGCAGTTGCCAGAATGTCGTGACTGATAAGTGATGCATTTGGCCAGGATTAAAGATGCTCATTACACACAAGATCTTAAGATGTTGCATCGTGAACCGATATCGTAATCAACAAAATAGTGAGCCAAGCGACAAAAACTTTTTCATGATAACCGTGATTATGATTGTTTAACTTCTCGTACAATATAACATAATGCAGCAGATCTGAACATATGCAAATTCATTACAATGACGGAGTCAATCACTTTAGTAGTACTAACATTCTCCTCCTGCATAGTTTACATTGTTTCAGTGATTGAGCATCTGTTCAGAGTCTTGATGCATGTTGCGATGATGAAGCATTAGGATCAAGTTGCACGACGACCTGGTAGAAAACCAAACCAACCCACGGCGATCTTTAGGTCAAGGAATCGAACCAATCCATTTGATGCAAATAGCAAGAAATTAAACAACTTGAGGACGCTGCGAAAGAGGCGCAATTACCTTGCCAACACTTTTTCCTGATTGAAGATGCTCAACAGCATCAGCCACAGAATGGACCCCAACAAACTTCTTTGAGTCGATCGAAATCTTGAGTTTACCCGAACTGTACAAATCGTAAAGCTTGTCGATGTGCTGCTGATACATCCGCACGTAGTGCACGAGGAAGAAACCAGACTGCGTATCCCAAATCATTCCAACCACCACACGAGTTAAAACCATGAATCTGTCTACGCTTTAATTCAATTTTCAGGTACATCATTGCTACTGAATAAGTACTTACCACTGTTTGCGACTTCCACAGCAGCTTCTCGCAGAGTCGAGGATAATTTGCTGGCTTCCAGTTCCCTCCCTCGCCCTCCGTGTACTGCGACATCATGCCGATGACCACCATACGGCCGAACATCGCTAGAGCGTTCATGCAGGTGTCAAACATCTCGCCTCCCACTGATTCATAGATGATGTTTACTCCCTTGGGATACTCCTTCTTCAAGACTTCTTTTACGTTCTCTTTCTTGTAGTCGATGACGCGGTCGACGCCCAAGTCCTTAAGCAGCGCTGCCTTATCTGCTCCACCACATGTGGCCACCACCTTGTTGCCCGCTAACTTGGCCAACTGCACTGCAAACTGGCCGGTTCCTCCAGCGGCTGCTGTCACTAATACCGTCTCTCCCTTCGTCATTCTTCCTGCCTGATGTTGACAAGAATTCAATGATACCGAACTGTCCCTGGTCGCTTATCTCCACCATAAATGAGAATTCATTGGAAAAATAGATAAGAAAAGCAATGAATTAAAAGGTATTTCAGAACGACAGCTAATTACCTGCTCAAGACTAATAGATGCAGTAAGCCCTGATGTTAGCATCGCCACAACTTCAGGAGTCGCCACTGGTACTGAAAACACGTGTTTTACAGGCATCTGCAAGGATCAACCAAGTTGTACATCATGTCCTTGAAGTTATATGAAATCTTAGTTGCATGCAGAAGATTTACTTATGAATAAGATCTGCCGATCTGCAGGAAGTGCCACAGATAAACTAGAATAAGTGAGGAGGAGGATGATTCAGGGATCATTAAACAGTACCTCCTTATATTCTGAAAACCCGCCATATGCAACGGTGGCAACCGCCGACCCAGGTTTCAAATTCGCATCCAACACGCCGTCGCCTACACCGGCAATGAGTCCCACAGCCTGCTCCACACACAATTTCAGTTGAAAAAGTTCACAAAAATTCAAAAAACACAAATAGAACATGTTACATGAAAAGATTCAGCAGGGTAAAACAGGGGGAACGTTAATCTGCGCATGAGTTGACTTTAGAAAAATACCTCAAAGCCACAATCAAGAGGCAATCCCGCAGCTGCCTCTTGTACACTAGCGTGGTATCTCCCTGCGCTGAAGTTTACCTACGGACATTTCAACAGACATTTCAATCAGAACAATCAAAATATCAAATGGTGCCTCGAGTGGAGCATGACTGATTGAAAACCTGAAGATGGAACTGATGCAAAATGAAGTAGAGAGGAATACTCACATCACTAGCGTTGATACCAACATACAGATACTTAATAAGAACGTGGCCAGGCTTAACAGGAGGTTTGTAAGTCACAGTCACAACTTTAGTCGCTGCTCGGAAATTAGAACTCAAAGTGTGCACTACACTGCAGAAACCGAACAAAAACAATGTTAAAACCAAGACAGCAGTCCGTTAAGAACACTGATCACAAATCAAAAGATTTTTGATAGCAATCCTTAAAAAAATAAGAAACGCAACATAGGGTTTAGAAAAAGGTTCTGACTACTTACACTTTTTGGAATTGTGAGGGTATGGGAGGTGCCAGGGCCAAAGGAGCATTGCTCGGTTTGCTCTGTAGCCCAGTCACTCTGTATTTCTTCTTCTCTTCTTCAGATGGCCAGAACTGAGTGGGATTTCTCGCTGGAATCCAAACACAGGCTCCAGCCTGACGCTCATCGTCGAGTACCATGAATGCACCTACCCATAGTATACAACATAATACATAATCATTCAGCATACACTTCAGGATATGCTGTAATAAGCAAATTCCTAAGTGGGGCTTTCGTAAAGACTAATCTCAGATAGTGACGAAGTTCACCTTCCAGTATTCGATCCATGGTTACGTAACCAAGATTGTTTATGAACTTCTTCCCGGCTGACGATACGCTTTCCAAAAACTGTGTCTGCACAAACTGCTCGACCACAAAAATAAATCAACTTCAGTTAGAATGAATATGCACAGGTGAGTGCGTCAATAACAGTTACAGAGGTTATTGACCAAAACAGGGGAAGTAATTAAACCTCAGGACATAACGCATTAGCACGAATTTCCAACTTCTTCAAACCCAGGAGGGCCCTTGTGAACATCACAACGCCACCTGTATCATGCAGTAACAGTAGACTGAGCCAAAAACTAAAACTCAAAAAAGAAGCCAAAGATTTTAATTTTTTAAAATAACACAAACGAAGATGTTACTGAAGATTATGGAATCCCACGGAAGTTAACTAAAAACCTCAAACAGAAGATGCAAATGAGCTAGATTGACTTAGTTCAATAAACCTTTGCTGGCTGAATATATAGGTCCAAACTGCATGGGGTATAAACCAGCAGCAGAGGCAATATTGAGGATAAGACCTCCTCGACCTTTCATTGCTTGAACCTGCGAAGAAATAAAAACGCCTACAAGTGATTCAATACATAATCAACCCGTGCACACGTGTAAAAGTAAATTATCGAGAACACATCATCCACTCGTGTATAAATGTGAAGCGTTCATGTACCGCTAGCCGTGTGCCGTCAATGACAGCGGTCAAGTTAATGTCCACCACTTTGCGCCATTCAGGCTTCCTTTCATCATTTTTGTCTTCATAGAAATTACTCTCCTCTCCAAGACCAGCATTATTGATACAAATATCCAGCCGTCCGAATACACGTTGATGTTGGGCAAATGCGGCAGCCAGTTCAGCTGAACACAGACAAGAATCTCAAGGATGTAAAATGACCACTTTCTAATCCAGACAGTAAACTGATTTGGAATTGGAATAACAAGCTGAAAAAAATGTAAAAAGGAAGTACATGTTTATTGGATCTTTGAGCAAGCTAACGCAGAATTTCCTTAAAATTCAACATACCAGTTTTACTGACATCGCATTTTATGAAAATGGCTGATGGAGAATTAGGCTTGTAAGAAATCTGGGCATGCGCTTCACCCACTAAACGCACCGTCTCTTGGCCTTGTTCAGACGCCAAGTCAAGCACCGAGAGTTGAACCCCACGTTTGGCAAGAGCCACTGCCAAGGCTCGTCCTAAAAACACCCAAAACCAATGTGTGTGCGATAGATTAATTATTCACGACTCGGCAAGTTCCTGACGAAAAAATAATTCGCAAATGAGGCTCACATTGAACTCATTCAATTCATGAAAGCTGAACATTTGCATGTGGACCGGTGGAGGAAGACAACCTATTCCGCCTCCAGCTCCTGTGATCAGAGCAGCTTGACCTGCCTCCACCTTCATTTTCCCGACTTTTGAACACTCCTGTTCGCAAACATTCAAGCAAGATATGCAAATAAATGATGAAATAAACCAGATAAATATGATAGTGAGAAACACATTGACCTCGCTAAAATCCAAATTCGTCTGAAATTGATTTTGAAATATGTACGATGAGATTCTGATTGCTTGGAAACACACAAGCCACCTTAGAAATACCCTACTCAAGAAACACACTACTGATGTATAAAATCGTTGATGATTCGACTCACACTGAAACCTCCACTTTACAAATCCCAATCGCATCAAAAACACCTGAGCTTCGCCACAAGGAATCACAAACGGACCTACAAATGCTATCACAATTCAACACTTAACCCAAATCGTGAAAACCTCGAGAGAGTGCTACACCGCACAGTATCACCACTTTCTCTAGCAATTACAACCCCAAACGGATCCAGCAATCCCGTGGACAAAACCATCGTCCCACAACATTCCAAATCAATGAATCTCAAAATCTAGCTACGGCTCTAGCAAACTCAGACGCGAATTCAGAAACCGCAATCAGGGATTGATCACCTCTTCTCAGAAATAGAATTTGGGTGACATGAGGAATTCAAGAGCTTGTTGAGTGAGGAACACAGAATTCGAGGAGATGACCAGCTTCAATTCTCAGACGCAAATTCGTCAGGAAAACGACGATGCTGCAGGAAAACACAGAGAAGAAAGAGGTATCCTTCACATGCTTCAAACAAGTGGCAATTTTGAACCAAAACCTCAACTAGCAAACAAATCGTTCTCTGCGAAATCGGGAAGTATATGTAGCAAATCTGGCGAATAACCCCCAACAATTTACACACAAATTATCCATTGCACCGTGAAATCCACCGCAGAAACGTACACACACAGACGTTCCCCATGATGTTCCCGCACTGGGCACATGTGTTCACGGTGTTCCCACTGGTTGAAGTAACATGGCAAACTTCGTCCCAAAAAAGGTCACCACAGTCCACATTATTGAATAGATACTCTGACAAGCTACTCGTAAGGTAAGACCCAAGTACCCAAGTACCCAATTCCTCTATTCTTCTCAGTGTCACGAAATTTGTTTCAATGAGTCTCAATCGGTGCACATCTGTGAGGTCGTTGGTCCAACCGTATGTTTGTGTATTTGATACGTAGCCAGTTCAGTGATACAGCATTTGTGATACACTTGATTCGTACACATATCCAGGACGGTTGAGTTCTTGAGTCCATGATAAGGAACGATTTCCTAAGTTAGTTTTGTATAGTTCGCTGGGCTGTGCCTGCTAGAGGTAGGGTAGAATAGGCTGAATGATATCGAAGTGGGAGAACTACTTACTTCCAATGTTGACTCATGGCAATGTCATGGATCATGCCAGACTTCCAGTCATACACCATGTTTTGACAAGTAGGTGTCACAGCAGCGGAACATCACATGTATGATGTGTGTACCAAATAAGTGGGTGATTTCAAATTGAATGTGACAGCTACCACAACAAATCATCATCCCCGTGCGATATTCAATACTGGAAAGACTAAGATACAAGGTGTGCGCTATATAGAGCACATTTCGAATTGAGATTAACAGGCACTGGAGAACCGACACCTAATCAAATGCTGGAACCGTTACACACTAAATCTCAAAAGAGTTTTTCTTAACTGCGTTCCACATGCTCCTCTGACTGCACATCTGCCAGAAGCAACGAAGTAGTTTATCAGTCATAAACCAAAGAGTACTGACTCGTTGACAGATTAAAAAAGGCTAATGTGTTTCAACGTGGGTTGAATAATCCACGTCAGAATTTACGTCAAAGGTTGATCAGGTAAGCGGTCGATGTACTGACCTCATTGCCGAGCTGTGAGGGTTATGTCCGTCGTTTTCGCTAATCATTAATCAATACTGCTTTCTCAGGCAGAAAAAATAGTTTCCTCAATTTTGGGAAGGTTGAGAAACTAAGAGGGGGTGATGCCAGTCTTGGCCAATGCCTTTTGCAACTGTTCTTTCATTGTCTTAATCTCTTCAGCTCGTTTTGCCCTGTCAGCTGTCCATTCCTGCATCCTCTCACGTTCCTCCCAAGCTGAACTGGCTTTTTCCCAATCCCATACATCCCTCCATAGGACTTTCTTGTCATGCCGCCTGTAATGTTTTCTGATTTCCTGCGTCACATATGCGGAAGAATAATGTCAGACCTGCCCATATAGCTGTCCAAGTCCATCAGACAATTCGATTTCATTACCAGGGTCACCATTTTATTCCATAAAAGCAATGCGGAGCTTACTGGTAGACCAACGATGCGAGGTCGGCGGGACTTTTTCCTTATTCGTCGAGGAGCTCTACCCCCAAACTCATCTCGTCCAACATCATGAAATTTCTCAAAGGGCACTCCCTGAAAAATAGACAACCCGTTAGGATTATGTGCGTATGAGGAATATGGTGCAGCCTTGCAATAGAAAGATGCCTACCAGTAAGCTCCGCATCGTTGGCCTAAGCCCTATGAGGGACACACAGGGGGGGGGGGGGGGGGGGGGTTGCCAACGTTGGGAACTGGTTATCGCGCACTAACCAGAAGCAGAAAAACCACCAGGTGAGGCCCAACAGCCCCTCATTTTCAAGTTGTTAAATATCATACCTCGTGAACACGTTTCATGAAATCCCTCCACAGCGGTGCTGCGTGCGAAGACCCCGTGGCTGCAATATTCAGAGGTCCGTAGAATTAGCAAAGACTATTTGAAATCGGATGATTCCCCATGCTCACACCGCAGCCAGAGCTTAATTTCTAAGCATGCCAAACAGTCTTATGTTACCTGGCCAAATGCCTCCAAGCGGAGTGTTGTCATCGTAGCCAAGCCAAACCTAAGAAAAAGACACCAACTTTTCAGTACATACACCAAGAAACAACTTAAGACAAATAGAAACTACTTCATGGATAATTGCATCAGATGGCTCATCGTAATGCTCTAACGAGTACTTCACACTGAACCATGATAAATGAGGAGACGTCCCGAGAATGTTCCAAGCCACCAAAATGAACAAATAAACCACCACCACTACTTGGGTGTTCTAAAGTCAACTTAGCGGCCCAGTCTAAAGAATTGTTTAAGCTAAGCATCAACAAGTAACACTAGCTCTTACCACGCACGAGAGCATGGGAGTAAAGCCAGCAAACCAAGCATCTCGATGACCGTCCGAAGTGCCGGTCTTCCCAGCACATGGCCGTCCAATTCGCGCAGCCCGTCCAGTACCTCGATCTACGACTGCCTGTAATTTGGTGTGGGAAATAGTTAATTTCGTTAAAACAAGCCATAAAAAATTGGCATTGCACAGCAGAATTGCCATACATTTGGTGGTCAAGAGGCTAGCATCAAAAAGCAACAACTAACCATTTAAAACCAGAAGTCAGAAAAAAAGGACAGACGTTGGTAACTGACTTGCAAGAGTGATCTCAGTTCTGATACAGCATACTCATCCACTACTGTCTCACGGTGCTCAGTAGAGATTGGCTGCAAAACCACACAAAAGGGCCACCTTCAGCTTGTCCACTAGGGAAGCACATATAAACAAGTCTTAGATCTTGGCTTATCGGTCTGGACATATCCTAAGTAAACATTAAATTTATGAATGCCATCGATTAGGGCAGTACCCGTAGATCTATCATCAATATGAGTAACCACTAAGATGCAACAGCTAGTAATTTGATGAGATATAAAAGAAGTACTGGCAATGTACTACAACCTTGCCATGAAGAAAAAATGTTGATTTCTATATACATATGATAAAAGATGTGAATATAAGAGACAACCTTCACTTCCTCTATGACTCGCCCTTGATAGTTCTCTACTCGTGAGATTAAGTAAGGTTTGTGAAGCACACCCCCTGATGCAATAGTTGAATAAGCAGTAGCCAACTGCAACGGAGTCATCTGCACAAGGTCAAATGGAACATATTTAACGAAACTTTTGTATTTTCAACGAAACTTTTGTAATGAATTACTGCAACTAGACAAATCCTAATTAATTGAAACACCCCATAATTTAGGAACGTATCTGTAGTTAATGTGAAAATGCAAGAACTGTGAATAAAATAATCTTCTAATACAAATGCAAATGTCTGTCCTAATTCAACTCACAAGCATGTTTAGAAGGTAGTAATAGGTACCTCACAACCTCCAAGTGACAGAGACAACTCATGGGGAAGGTAAGAATCAATGCCCAAAGCTTTCCCCATTCTACATACCTGAAAAATTTTAAAATCAATAACATTATACTTCAAGATTCTTAAAACTTGTTCGTCCTGAGTAAGCATAGCTCCCTCTCAGTTTAACCATAGGGTAGAGTTGAAAGACCACTAATGTTCCAAGGGTTCTGGATGCATAATGACCTTGTCTACACCAATAGCTGCACAGAGTTTTACAGTCGGCACATTCAAAGATCTCAATAGAGACTCCTCGAGCGTAACCTGCAAGCGGAAGATGAAGCATACTAACTTGTGAGAACTTATTGCTGTCTCATAAATAAGTCCTTCAATGTATAAATCAGTGAAAATAAGCAAGAGAAAGCAAGAACAAGTCAATCAGTGAACAGTACCAGATCAAAATATCAGAATCATGTACACGTTATCAGAAATACCAAACTCTGACCTGTCCTCTAAATTTTTTGTCGTAGTTTTCTGGAGAAAAATCACCAACTGAATATGGTTCATCTACGATCACATGATTCCGTTCACTGCACATCCCAAGAAGGGTTTACGATTAGCTTTCGATGTCAATAAACGGAGCTGCTGAAACACAAACTACTAAACTGCAAAAGAAGAAAGGGGCGTAGCATTCTCGAGACATTAACACTCATTAACACTCATTAATTAACTCTCATTAATAACTATGCGATTGCTCTTAAAAAATGCAAAAATCCTTACATTCCTTCAGCCAGCGCTGCTAAGTAAACAATCGGCTTAAATGTGGACCCTGGAGGACGGTAGGCCTGCACCAGAAAAAAAATATATATATATATAAAAAAAAAATTATAGTACACCTTGGTGCAATGTGCCACAAAGACCAAGAACCAGCCTCAAAACACAGACCAGAAGGACGCAATTATGGATTATATCAGCAATACACGGAACAACTACGAACCCTCACAATGTTCTCTTTCCTTTTCACACTTGTCCAAACGACCCAAACCCCTGCACTCATTGTCTGTACATTAGCCAGCCCAGGATGTCCCTCCAAATAGGACGTGATGAATAGAAAATTACACAGCTATTGCCTATATAACCACTTAAGGACCAACTGCACTATATGCACACCCGTTATAGTAAATATCTATGAAAAAGTAAAGTGCTTGCACAAAATCAAGATAAAACTAAATTCACCTGAGTAGCACGATTGAAGTTGCTTTCATAGTAATCTCTGCCTCCAACTAAAACTCGAACTGCTCCTCTCACAGGATCGATTGCTACCACCGCACCCTCTACTCTGCAACATCAACAACTACCACTGAACGCTCAGCATGGATCTCATTTTGCAGGTCAAAAATAATACACCACTTTGTGTTGATTCGTGACAAATGCGCATGCCTGGAAATAGAATGACCAAGATGAATCACGAGACCTAGCTTTAGAAGCCTTCTTAACTTCCTCTTGATGTTCTGCTAGTGACGCACTTAAAGCTTCCTCCCTGCAATGACCAGCATTAAGCACCGAAACCCAAAGTCAATCTTCAGTCTTTCAATCAACAACTTGCAAGGTCACAGCAAGCATCAAATCACTTGATGAAGTGTTGCGTTAGATTACTTACGTTAGATCAAATCTCCTTTTAACGGCCTCAGATGCTTTGTTAGCTGCTTCAGAAACCGCAAGTTCCTCTGCCTTTGACCTGGAAGGAAAGCTCAAAGCTTAATAATGTGCTTCGTGAAAGACGGGTATCTCCAAACATGAAATCGAACAGCGGCGTAAGTATATCGATGAAACGATTAACATAGTCAAAACAGAACATCGACACATCAGAAACATCCGAGTTTATGAGCGTTCCTAAAAAAAATCCATGATCTTCTCTTGCATTCTTCAATGCCAAAACTTTTCGACTAAAGAAAGTTGAGTTGTGAAATCGTACTCACGAAACCTTGCTCTAAACCATTATTGTATAAACCTTGCAGGCAACGACAAAACTACTATACTGGTCCTGAAAACCTAAAGCATTCAAGAGAAAGAGTGGCCACAAAGAACTACCTCTCTTCTTCGGATGTTTCTTTACCCTTGCTGGATTCTATCTTGGAGAGCTTTTGAAACTGCTCACGAGCCCTACATCAAATTAAAGCTTTAGTATGATCCAATGATTACTGAAAATTTACAAGACGAAGCGAACAGAATAGATTAAGCTCGTGAGTCTGCTTTAAAACTAGCAGATCAATTAAGCAATAAATACCATGTCAATCTCTCGAAGAATACTAACAAGACATATGCTTAAAACCTTACTTAAAATAAATAAATAAAAATAACATTGAAAAAAGTAGATACAAGCTTAATTCTCACAATATACAAAAGGACAAAATGTGCAACTGTTCCTTAACCTGAGGCAACAACCATCAAGAAGTAAACAAATATTGCAACCTACTTTGTGGCAGCTACAAGAGCAGCTTGTTCCATCTTCTGCTCTCGGGCTTGCCCCAGGATGCCCAAGGCTTCAACGCATCTTTCTACAGCCTTTTGAGCCAAAACTATTCGCTCATCGTCATACTCAATTCCAGCATCATTGACCGCCTTTTCTGCCACTTCCTGCATTGCTAAATCTACTGTAGTGTGCACCTGTTTGACGTAAAATACATCAGAAACCCTGCTGCGTTTGCATTAAGAGGAAAGCGTCTTTTCAGCATGTGCTACCCTTGAATGGTAACCGTAAACTAAAAAGATCATTGAGATCCGTGATACGGGTTTGAAAACAATATGCAGTGATCAAACACCCGACTCCCGAAATCTCATTTTTTTCTACCGAAAACAAAAGGTCGTCGCCACGATTCTCGATGAAAAGCAAAACTTTTGTTCCCAAGTAGAACAAAACTGAAGTAAACCTAATAAGTAGTACCTGGAATCCACCTTGCAAAACCTCATCTCTCCCATACTTTTGGTACAACTCATAAAGCACCTGCGACATGTAGCATTCGTTCAGGACATTCTGCAGGCTGACCTTGGATTAAAGGTGGAAGAGGAAAAAGTTACGAGTCCACCAAGAACCTTGCACAATTTCGGATAACTCCCATGAATACATGGGTTTTACGTCAAACATACCTCACTCACGAAGTATGGAGCTCTCCAAGGCCCAGATGAACCATCGTCTCCTTCTAAACCCAAGCGAAGAGGCTCATTGACTGCAGCAGCCGCAGTGGCAGCATCGAGAAAGCCGGCCTCAACCATCCGACGAAGAGTTCTTGCTTGTGGTTTCTTCCCTCGGCTGGGATCCCGATACGGAGAGAGATATTCAGGTGCTGGGATGATCCCCGCAAGCATTGCACATTCGCCCAGGGTTAGCACTGATGGGTGCTTACCAAAATAAAGGGCTGCAGCTCCCTCTATTCCATATACACCATGCCCCCAATAGATCTGAAATTGAAGCCATTGTCCAGATTTGGAATCCAGTGGAAATACTGCAGGGGGTCAGCAAACAAAACTCACAAACTCAACTTCACAACACACCACCACTCTGTTTGTAGATGGAGAGATGACAGTCATAGTCTCAAGTTCAAGCATTCACCTTATTCAGATAGTGATGCAGTATATCCCACTTCGACATCTGCCTCTCCAATAAGATCGCCAAGATCATTTCCATAAACTTTCGGCTCCACTTCCGGTCGTTTGTGAGGAACACATTCTTCACCAGCTGCATTGTTAAACAGAAAAAGTGCACACGGTTAACCATTTCAGAATTCAGCAAACACGTCGTATCAAAACACAGAAGCCACGACTTGGAGAACGCTTCTGGAAACCTACCTGTTGAGTGATGGTACTCCCTCCTCCACTTGAAGCCAGCGACAGAATGGCTCGAGTAAGACCCCTGGGATCAATTCCCTGGTGCTCAAAAAATCTTCGATCCTCGGACGCCACCACAGCCTGCCACAGCATTGACGGAATGTCACCAGGATGAAGTGGGGCGCCATCTCCAATTCCTTTGCTTTTCCCCATATTATCCGTTTTCCTCCCACTGCTGTAACCTCCTCGCACAATTTTCGCTAATAGTACACCATGGCAATCATAAATCACGGTTCCAGGCTGCGGTTCCTGTTCCACTGGTTTGGGCTCTTGCAGGGGATGATCGTGTATTAGCTTATTCCACCGGTCAAAAAAGTCAGGAGGCAGACAGCTCAATAACGCTCGAGAAAATCCTGCTAATCCTCCGAAGAACAATGCAACTGCCAAAGTACGAACCGAAAGGAGCTTTACAGTAAAACCCCTGTTTTCCTTACTAGAGGGCTCGTCTTCACCTCCAGCTGCCCCTGTTATTCGATAACGCTCCAACTTAGCTCCACTCCTGCGTTCAAACTCATGTAACACTGCATTCTGCAACACAGATGACACCAGCGACGCCTCCAGCCGTAATCCTACCTTCAACACTGCCTCATTCATCAGAACCGCCCTCCAACAGCCAAATCCACAGGGTTTCCTTCTCGGCGCATTTTGTTTCCTCTGCCGAATCCGGTGCTGATGAGGTCCAGGCAACGAACGCCCGGACGCGAGCACAATGCACTCCATGGCCAATCAATCACGACATCTATTGTCCGCAGCTGCAAAACCTTCCCTGTAAGACTTCTCCAACCTGAGGGAATCCATAACCACAGTGCAAATCCTTTCTATGCCACTAAATTATCACGCATTACAGATGATTCGCAAGGATGGATTTGGTATTGCAAGCCCCGAGGAAGGCTCCGCTCGATCGAGGAAGACGACGCATTCCGCCTGGAATTCTGGCCCTAAATTCTTAACCCCGTGTTCCACTTGGAATCTGCCTCAGAGTCACTTCATCCAAAGTGATCGGACTCCGAATGAACGTCACCGAGTTACAGCCTCTTTTCTTCCGCTTATGGACAACGACATTCATTCTAAATATATATTTTAGTGAAAAATTGATGTGGTACTGGTTCAATTTCAAATATGCATATGTTATAAACTCATCTTAATTAAATGATTGTTATTCTATGTACTAAACATGTATTTATATATATATATATATATATATATATATATATTGCCTTAATTTGGTCATTTTTAAGATATCACAAGATATTTTAAATTTTGTTTTTACACGTAATTGTAAATAATTATATTATATATTTTAATTAGTACTCAACCTAAAAATAAAATTATACCACTACGTCTTTCCACGTATTTAATACAATGGAACATAATCGTATCACAAGCCAAATTGCAAGTATTAAAAATGACACATAATCAACACAACAAATCCAAAAAACATATAGGACTAATCATCTACAAGACACACTACACAAACACCAAAAGGAAGAGATTAAAAAAATAAAAAATAAAAAAATAAAAATGTAACACATAAAAGAATACCGTAATGGTGGATGATTTTAACCGGTTGATAATCTTCATGTTCTTAACACAAAAAAGAATTCCCTAAGATCTATTCACTAACCCACTACTTCAAAAGAAAACAGCCACAAAAACAGACGCTAACGCTGACGCCACCGCCACTTGAATGAAAGACGGGGAGGCTTTCGCGTCAGCGGGAGCGGCGGTAGGTTCCTGGTCCAACGACGGCCCGGGGAGGGGAGGCGCCGGGGGTGACTCAACCCGGGACACTGCGGGCGGGAGACGGTCGCCAGACTGCCCCTCGCTACCGCCTGCCAGCCGCGGAACTGGTTATCGGAGTTAATGGTCATCGTTCCCTTGAACCGAGGTGCTGCCGCACCGCCTGTAGCAGGTAATATATTCACGCTCTTTGCATTTGATTTCCACCTTGTTAAGAATGTTTTAGAGAGAGACACAAGAGTAGTTAGAAGTAATGTGCACACACAAGAGAGTATATAGAAGGAGAGAGAGCCTCTAAACAAAACTATGTATTAGTTTGGTTGTCTCACTTAAAAGAAGGAGGAGAAGATAAGCAATTTTTCCTCCCATTGTAGAGAGTGTCGGCTACATTAAATGCTCTCAATATTCCTCCTTACTTGTCATAATATTTATATAATATAAAATTTGCATAGAATTATGATCTATAATTTTCTATAATCTTAGATGATCAACAATTGTTGCCTCATTAAAACATTATCTAGGAAAACCTTATGGCATTGAAGGAAAAAGAGTACAATATCATTTTTCTTAATTATTTAAAGAGTTCATTAACTTTCTTGCTCAAAAAAAAATAAGTTGCCTCATACCAATGCCATAAGTAAGTCGATGGTGGTTGCACAAAGGAAGAGCTTTGGTGAAGAAATCAGCAAGGTTATTTGTAGATTCAATTTTCTTTATTTTAAGTGCTTGATTAATAACCAAGTCATTAATATAACTAAAATATTTTGGATTAATATGTTTTGTCTTATCGCCTTTGATGAAATTGACTTGCATCTGTGCAATACAAGTTTTATTGTCCTGATACAAAATAGTTGGAGAATCATCATATGAAAGTCCAAAGATTATTTGAATGAATTTATCAATTGATCATAACCAAATACATTCTTGAGACGCTTCATGTAAGCTAATAATTTTTGCATAGTTAAATGAAGTTGCAATTATAGTTTTTTTTACTAATTTCCATGATATTATAGCTTCATGTCTTAAAAATACATAGCTTGTTTGAGATTTAGATGTTGCAATATCAGATTTATATCTTACATTACAATATCTAATCAATTTTGGATTTCCAAATCATGTGTAATATATTCCCAAATCTTTAGTGTATTTTAAATAATATAATAAATATTTGATGCTATTTTAATATCATAGTATTGGATGTGCATTATGTCTTGTAAGAATACTAATTACAAATGTAATATCTACTCTTGTAAATGTGGCTAAATATAAAAGTGCTCCAACCAATGCAAGGTATGAATATTGATCTTCGAATATTTTCTCTTTGTTTTGGTAATATTTCCTCCTCGTTTTGGCACAAACAATATGGATCATCACCATCACAACCACATCCAACCATTGGTATTGACAATGGATAAGAATTAATCATATTGAATCTTCACAAGATTTGTCTAATACATGTTAGTTGATAGAAAAAAACTGCTACTATTTGTAAGATGTTTAACTTGAAGACCAATACAAAAAATTATTTTTCTTAGCATTTTCATTTCAAACTAACAAATAAGTAAATTAGTAGCTATAATGCATGCAGATCTAGTACTTATTAGGTTAAGATCATCAACATCTATAATGATGATCACAAAATCAATTTTATTTCATTTGATGAAGAAATAAGGAATTAGTGGATCACTTATAAACTTATTTGTAACTAAATAATCTTAGAGATGTTGATACCACATATGTTTAGATTGTTTTAGATCATATAGGGCCTTGTGTAATTTAATACCATGATATTAACTTGGAGTGGGTGCATATGGAGTTTTTATTTCCAAACTAGGTGGAACTTTGATATAAATATCTACATCAAGAGAATCATATAAATATATACTTATCACATCTATGAGACACATCTCAATAGTAGCATGAATTGCCATTCCAAAAATATATTAAAATGTAATTGAATCCATGACTAGAAAATATGTGAATTCATAATCAATGCCAAATTGTTAGATAAATCTTTGGGTAATAAGATGGGCTTCATAGGAGATTATTTGATCTTTAGCATCTTGCTCGCATATTAATACCATCTTATATCATATAGGGCAATGTATAAGAGTATCCACAATTGGACCAAAGACTTTTCTTTTAAGCAAAGAAGTATACTCCTCTTCAATGGTCTTTTTCTGTTTTAATGAGTCAGAGCGACACATTGCTTCCTCAATAGTTTGAGGATCAAGATCTTCTTCTTCATAAGAAAGAGCTTTTGTAATTATGGATGCAAATGATTCATTTATTATAATAGATAGTCTATTCGAAATATTGTTTGTAATACAGTATAGAATAGATAATTTTATATTCAATTTGATTTTATTCCTTCCAATATCAAGATTTTTTATTATTTAAAGTAAAGATATAATTTTTATTAACATATCATCATTAATTGATGATCTCATAGGTTTAGTAGAAATTTCCATGGAAACAATATGAGAATAAATACATATTATAGCCTTTTTTTTTTACGTGGTTGCTTATCTTGTTTACAAGTCTTCTTAGTTTTTGATATTGTAAACTTAGGTATATTAATTAATGGTATTGTAATTTGAGCAAGCGTATTTTAAGCCTCATTAATGGAAACACTTCTAATTTGAGGCACATCATTAAAACCATCAAGTGTTTCATTTGTAATTTATTTTAGATGTAAAATCTTAGCAACTTCAATTTCAGTCAAAGATGTTATAGGATCGAGATTCATTATAAACATTTTTGATGCTCTAAATACAAGTGTTGTATTTCTTTGTTGATTAGATATTCCTCTTCAAAGAAATAGAAAGATATTCTCTTCAAAACAACAATTTTAAAAACATGCATGTAATAATATACTAGTTGATGGATCAATAATATGAATAATGCTTAGTAAATCAAAACCAACATATTTTCAAGAGCAAGAACTCGATGAAAAAGCAATTCAGTCAAGTGAGCCTTCATTCAAAGAAAGGTAATAAAATATAAATAAATAAGTATGTATATTAAAAGAAAACTGGAATGGCTATTGCCAAAAGACAAGAAAATTAAAGACCCTTGAAACTAGACTGGAAGCAAGAAAGGAGTTGACAAGAGTGAAGAAGGCTTCACTCTTGTCTCTATATATACTATCTAACTAGGAGCTACATGGCGACGTCTATAGGACCTCCAATATGTGTTGACTTTATAGGACACATGCCTTGACTTACAAGGCAAGTTTTTTTACATGTAGGCCACATAGTTAGCTTGGTCTTCAAGCTAACAACATGTGTGGCACATGGCTAACTTGTTGATCACATTTCTAATACAAAAAGTCAATTAAAGACACCTATGAAGTCAAAGCAGCGTCTATAAAGCTTCTATGAAGCTTCCATATCAAATACTATAGAATTAACTTACTTTTACCTACTTTTACTTACTTCTACCTATTTCTATATGTAATTATGAGTATGTCCGTGACATTATTTCTACTTCTAGGGATGAGTTCCACGAGCAAAGATGATTGATAGGGCCTCTCAACCATCGGTAGTGTCCCATATCAAGGTGGGAAGACCACCAAGTTATTTGATCATTGTTGAGGCCTTCATAACTTCCTTCGAATAGAACATTTGGAACGCCATCAGGAGTTGTTCCTACCTCTAGTAAAATCACCAAACATCGAGAGTCCCTTCCCAAGTCGTGATACCAAACGTGTTGTATCTCGCCATCTATTTGAAGAAGAACATGTCATTCTTGAAGATCTTCATCTCGATTGCGTCATCTTGAACGTTGTGACAATCATAATGTCTCGTCCGATAGGTCAGCAAATGAAGGCTCTTGAATCAAATCCACTGGTTGTTGGTTCTCCATCTCTTGAGCGTCACAACTACAAAGAAGCTACAAACAAGAATTGAAAGTAAAATATTATTTTGCCTAGATGTTGTTTCTTTTATAAAGAATATTTTCATCTTGATTTTGATGGATGTCATCGATGAAAAGCCTCCACCGCCTTTGCTATATTTACAAGATTCTTTACTGGCTCCCATGTGCCTTCATTAATATCATATCTGTGCCAATGGACAAGATATTCCAATTTATTTCGATACCTCCTTGAATCTAAGACTTCTTCTACTTCAAACTCTTCATTATTATC